TATTTTGGTTCACGGTTTTAAGGGTTCCAGTGCATGATCAGGCAGACCTTTGGTTTTTAGGCCTCTGGTGAGGGACCACACATTGTGATGGGATGCGTGGCACAGCACATCTGCTCACTGTGTGGCCAGGAGTAAACAAGAGCAAGGAGGGGCCATGGTCCTGTAGTCAGCTCCAAGGACCTGCCCCCAATGACCTAAAGACCTCCTGCTAGGCTCTCACTGGTGCATCACCTCCCAAGAGCACCAACCTTCAACACAGAAGCCTTTGAGAGACGTTTAAGATCCAAACTGTCGCCGATGGGTAATGCGCTTTTTTAGCCCACTGCTCTAATCCTCAGTCTCCCTTAATCTTTCAGCACCACTGCCCTTGTTCCCTGGTAGAAATGTTGTGAAAATACCCCAGCGCTCTCTCCAGTGGGTGCACAGAGCAGCGCCTTCAAACTGACTTGTCACTTCCTTAACTTTTCATCACTGCTTCATATGCCAACAGACCCAGGAAGCTACAGCTCAGGCTTCTCAAAGCCCAGATGGGTCCTAATTTGTTACGTTGGAGGAGAAAAAAATCTGTGTTCCCTGGCAGATGCACTGGGACTGTTTTGTTAGTCACATCTGCCACCTTCTTGCTTTTCTGCATTGAGAACTTTTTTTTGCAAGCTCTGTGGATCTCGATGGTGAAACACAAAGCAGAATGCTGAAGTGTGCATTTCCCACCTGGCCCAAGTCTCCACCTGACTGTCAGCACCTGGGCTCTAGGAGGAGTGAAGTTCCTTGCTCTGGGGAAGAGACTGGTGGAGCTGGAACAGTGTCCCCCAGTGTCCTCTCACTTATTCCAACATAGGATGCCAAGGGTGTGCACATGGCTGCCCCAGGGCTGACTCCATTTCCCGGCCTGCTCTGGGGCAAAGTATGGTGACATGGCTAAGTGCACTCCACACTGCCCCCTGCTGGACTGAGTGCAGGGCCACAGGGACCTCTTTCTTTTGCAGTACTGGGAATGAAGGCTTAGACCTTCTCACTGAGCTACAGCCACAGCTACTTTTATTTTTTATTTTGAGACAGGGTCTTATTAAGTCACTACATTACACAGACTGGGTTTGAACTTGTAATCCTCCTGCCTCAGCCTCCCAGAATGCAAGCACCACTTCTGAATCTGGGTCTCAGGAGACTAAGCTCTTTATTTTTGCATGAACTGCAATCATACACAGGAGAATAACTGCCTCGAATTGTCACATATTCACGCGCGTGCGCACACACACACACACACAAAGGCCCCAAATAAGGCTCAGACACACCGGCTCCTCTTGCTATAGCTGGGGACCCAGTTTGGTGCTGTATCTTGGAGGATCCCCACCAGCAAGCTGGCCTCCCCAATTCAGCCCCTCAGGCTTGGACCCCAGAGCCAGGCAGTGTACCCTCTGCTCCTCACAAATGCCTGGGCTGCGGTGTTACTATAGCAACAGAAACGCACGGAGTCACCACCCCCTTCGGTAAGCGCTCATCTGTGCCGCCTGCCTGTGTTCAAGGGTCCCCAGCACGCCCTATGCCCTCACCAGGTTGAAAACCGAGAAAGGACCCTGCCCCCATCTCTTCCCACCGCAGGGGCCACTTCCCCTTGCCCAGTTCCTTGGAGCAGGGCTCCCTGGGCGCTGCAGTCGGGGTGGTCACCCTCGCCCCCCGCCGCCCTTAGCCGAGGCTGAGGTCGGCCTAGGAGCAGGGTCCTCACCCAGCAAACGCTGGTTGTGTAGAAGCTGGCTCCTGTGACCCTTGCTCGGCGCAGGGTCCAGCTAGGAAAATGTGTCTCACCTGAGCCCAGACGGTGCCCCCACCCAAAGGTCGCTGCAGCCCGAGGCCCCACGGACCGCCTTCGCGCCACCTGTCCGGCCATCCTGGCCAGGCCCACGTCCACGCCTGTGTCAGAGCTGAGCGTGGGAATGTGGTGGCGGCCGAGTGAGACAGGGCCCGGAAGGGGCAGTCTCCGCCCCGCTTGCCTGGGTCTGATCCAGCACAGGACGCCCGCCCCTCCTCGGGTGCAGCCGGTGTCCACGTGGCCTCCGGGAAGTCCCGGAGCACGCGGAGGGCTGCACAGACACACCGGCACCCACTCAGTGCTTCATGTGCCGGATCTTCCTCGCCGAGAGCCAGCGCCAGGGGAAACGTGTGGGCCGGTGTGGAGCGCGGAGGGCGTGAGGGCCTGAGCCCTGGGCAGGAGGAGCGGGGTGCCCTGGGTCCCCTACAGAGGGGATTCGCTCTGCAGCCTGCCTCTGGACGACCCAGTGAGGAACCACTCCACTTTCTGCACTACTCAGCCTTCCTGTTGCTGAACCCGTACCCAGCACCAGAGCCCGGAGGGAAGGCTGGATCCGGCTGTCGGCTTCCGAGCAGGGCTGGCAGGGTCCCAGGTGCGGCCACCATGGCGGGGCTAGCGTGGCTGAAGGACGTCACAGGCAAAGCTGCTTCCTTCATGGCGGCCAGGAAGGAGAGCCGGGGAGCCAGGGACCCAGGCCAGACAGGAGCGTGCAGGGAGCACACACAGACCCAAGGCCACGCCTGCAGGGCCCACCAGTCACAGCCAGCAGGGTGTCCTGGGGACAGGCACCAGCCCAACCCGGCTGAGTCCCGCCCTCAGCACACAACAGCCGAGAGAGCTCCCTCGAGAAGCAACACCGCAAAGCGGGGCCTCCCTCTGTGGGGAGCACGGGTGCGCCCCGTTCTTCCCACACCAAGCTAACTGCCGCGGGCTGGCAGGCATCGCAAGGACCTTGGGAAATGTCTGACAAGGAAAAACGACTGGCTGGCAAATACGGAAGAGCAAAACCAGCCTCTACACGTGATGGATCCATATACTCATTCCTCTTTAATTGCTAAATTGGATGCACACTGGGGCTGGGGATTTAGCTCAGCCGCTCAGCGCCTGCCTGGCAAGCGCAAGGTTGTGAGTTTGATTCCCAGTAACGGAAAAAAAGAAAAGGAAAAAAAAATCTCACTGCATCTGAAACTCATTTGTGGGATTTCCTCCCTCGGCAAGGATTCGTAACTGTGCTGGTGATTGCTAGGAAATAAGAGCTAATCAAAGGCAAATGGGTGGTCTGCAGCTCGGTCATTTTAAAAGCAAAATCAGCAGCCTTGCCCGGCTGCTGGAAGCCCCTCAGGCCGGTGCGCGTGTGTTTCTGGAGTTACCGCCACCCTTGCCTTTCCCTAACACACCAGAAGTATCAGGATAAAAACCCACTTCTTTAGAGATGAAAAGTGCAATTTGTTTTCCTGAGAAACTATCTTGAAGATACCAATAGGTAAAATAACAACCATTGATAATGTCTTATCACTTTGTCTATAATTCGGTAAATCTCCCTATTACTATGTTATCCTTCCTTTACTCTTTAAAATAAAAAAAGAAAAGAAAAGTGCAGACACCAGTGCAGAGTTATGCACCCACACCAAGGAATTCGCTGGTTGGCACCAGGGCTGAGGCCCTCTGACGTGCATTCCAGTGGGTCAGACCTCTCCTCACTCATAAAACCCAGGTCTCTAGGGGCTGATGTGCATTTTCTGGTTTTTTCCAACCCTGCAATTGAGGGATATTAAGCAGATATTTTTGAAATTCCATTTTTGTTGCTATAACAAAATACCCAAGGCTGGGACGCTTTATAAAGAAAAGAGGTTGATTCAGCCCACAGTTCCTGCAGCTCAGGCTCATGACGCCTGCACTAGCTTGACCACAGACAGGCCAGAGAAAGACATCCTGTCACCAGATAGAAAGCCAGAGACACACAGGGTCACACTGCTCTCGGGACATCCGGCTCTGGGGAGGACGCCCTCGGCCCTCCCAAGGGGAGTGTCCCTGGCCCGACACCTCCCTCCAGGAGACACAGTCCTCACCTCTCAGCATCCCAACACCAAGCACCATGCCTCCCACACAAGCCACGTCCACACCCTGGCTCCCCGTCTCCTGCAAACACCAGGCTTTCTGCTTCTCTTCACCGCACTGGCTCCCGTGAAGGGCAGGTATTTTCAGGTGACCGACAGGAAAATCTTCTCTGTCTCTCCAGGTGCTCAGTCCAGATGGGGTCATCTAGCTCTTTTTTTGGGTGTGGCTGGACGTGGGCTTCTGCTGTGGTAGACTGACAGCTGGCGGTCGGCGTGTAGCACCCAGCTGAACTGAGGGCCTGGATCCCATGGCAGTGCCCTGCATGAGTCCAGCTGAAGACCTAGAGCCCATAACAATGCCCCCGACAAGTCCAGCTGGAGCCCTAGAGCCCACGACAATGTCTCACGCAGGCCTGTTTCACGGATCTGCGCTGGGAAGGCCCAGAGGTCAGTGATGGAATCTAGGAAGTCTGTGCCAGCGGGATGGAGGACCAGCAGGCTGAGGGGTCTGCACTGGAGCCAGGAAGCGATGCTCAAGGGAAGGACCAGGGCTCCGCGGAAAGGTACCACAGCCGTCCTCAGCAACAGCAAGGTCCCGAGCTCCTCCAAGATGAGAACAGCTGAGTTCATATCAGGAAAGCCCGCACGATGACCTCCTCCAGGAGAACCAACAGCACCACTCCCTCCCCACTAGTTCTCCTGTTCATGTCGCTGGGAACAGCCCTCAGGTGGGCCTCCCGCACCCAGCACCAGGCCCTCAGCTGGATTCTTCGGGTCTTCCGTGTGTGGACAGATTTCCTGCACGCTTTTGTATTTGACTGTTTGGGTGACTACCGTGAAATAACCCTATAAATTATGTGTCCTGTATTGTTTTCCTTGCAAACCCTGACTAGAACAGCTCCTCACTCCAGTGCCCCTGGAGACGCCACTAGAGGCCCAGGGAGCCTCACTGCAGCGAGGGCGGGTCACAGCTCCTCCTCAGCCCTGGCCGTGGCACACCACCAGTGACCTGCCCACATCCAGGGCCCCAGCTGAAGTCCCCACTACAAGGCGGAATGGACGCAGTGGTTGCCTTGGCCCCGGGCCACACTGGCTGTGCGTTTTCATGAAAAGAAAACCTCACACTACCACAGAAGTGTTAGTGACAAGTTGTATTTGTTGCCAAGGTTGACAAAGCACTATTGTGACATAGAAATGCCTCCTCCAGGAATGGCCTCATCTTCAGAGCTTTCTCTTCAGGGTTACAAAGCGCTTCTCTGTGGAACGAAGAAATCTGAAAGTCCTATCATGCCGTTCTTCCTAGAGTCCCCGAACCAGAAATGGACATGGAGGAGACCGTTAGTAATTTCCTGCAGCACACTCAACGCAATGTCTATAAACTGCTATAAGCTAAAAGGAGCGCCTGAAAACTAGTCATGGAGGGTCTCTCAGCAGTGATTCTTCCACCAGAAATAAAGGATTCCAGCTGGGCGTGGCGGTACACACCTGTAATGCCATCACCTGGGAGGCTGAGGCAGGAAGATCACTGGATTCAAGCCCAGACTGGGCTACACAGTGAATTCAAGGCCAGCCTGAGCTACTGAGCAAGACCCTGTCTCAAAAGACAACCTATGGGAGGGAGGGGGGAAGTGTGGAGGGCCACCCTGCTCATCACAGCCCTAATGACAGGGCCAAGCTCAGGTGGGCCGTGTCTCGTGTCCTGTCAAGATGTGGAGGGACCGGTGCTTGGGTCACCCCGACCGCCTGCAGCGATGCCGACCACACCCTTCCCTGGGGTCACTCCTGATGGTGATCTTGAAAAATAACTGGGAGAGAGTGGGTGCCCCAGAGGGCTGTCCCAGCCCTGCCAGTCCAGGAGGGGCATGAGCGTCTCCGGAGCCTGGAGCAGGGACGCGGGAGTGGTCACGGGGGGCAACTGAGGCCACTTCCGGGGACAAGGACAGGCGGTAGAGGGTGAGTGTGAGGACAAGGAGAAGTGCCCAAGGACCGTCACAGACCCGTTACACCCAATGCAAACACAGTATGAGAACGTGACACGGGAGGGTGACAGAAAACGACGTGAACATTTCAGTTTTAAAAATGACGACAGTAGAAGACACATCCAACGCTAATGTCCCTCATCTCAATCGTTCTTGCCGCTCTCTGGAGCAGCTCTGGAGTCCTCCTTCCTGAGTGTCTGCGGTTGTGTTGTCATGGCTACTGCAATGCCCTGAATCCACTCACAGTCACTTTGACTTTGGGGAGGAGCCGGAAGTCACACGGGGCCAGGCCTGGTGAGCAAGGTGGAGCAGGACACGGCGTCACGCTTTTGTGGGCTGCCTTTCTGCGGGGGGCGCACACAGCAGTGTTCACCATATTTTTGATCACATCTTATGAAGACACTCATTAAAGCATTAAAGGAGACTTCCAGAACTGCCTCAGAAAATGGCAAAAACAAGGGGATAACAGTATTCCAAGCGAGGGGAAGGATTTTGAGGTTATTAAAATCTAAACACCAGAGTTGCTGATTACCCCTGCTAGAACATGTCACACAACGTTCATCGAATCCAGAACTGTGCTAAGTCAACGACGTCCTGGGACTTCTGCAGCTAGTGCCGTCCGAGGTGCTGCAGCCCGGGAGCACGGTAACAAGCACCTTCCGCTCCACTGTGTGAAGGGAATCCTGGCTATCTCCCTCTAACCTGGGGTCACTTTAAAGTACCTGATCTGGTATGAAAGAATCACCGTAAATTCAGGATACAGATTCTCCTGATACCTAAGCAAAGCCAACCTCAGTCCTGCCTGGGGCCGGCCTCAGCTCAGCCCGGTGGGGAGGCAAGCCTGCATCCCTGGCCGGCCGAGGGGGATGCGGTCGCTCGGCAGAGCGGGGCAGACGCAGCGCCGACAGCCCAGCCCTACTCACACGTTGTCCCTCAGAGTGTCGAGGTACGACTCCGTCTCCTGCGCGGAGACGTCCGAGTCCAGCCGGGACAGGTAGCGGTAGATGTAGCAGAAGGTGTCGAACGGGATGCGGGCCGGGCCACCCTCGGGGTCGGTGGTGAGGATCTCGCAGAAGTGCTTCATGGCCGAGTTCAGGGACTGGAAACACAGGGGGTGACGGTCACTCGGCCGCCTGAGGACCCGGGGCCTCGTGGGGTACAGAGGCCGGACCGGGACGCCAAGGGCCGGGGAGCAGGGTGGCCTCGCACAACTGCCCTCCAGTGACTGGGGGATGACTGCCCAGGACAGCGCATGGAGTCCAGCCCTGGACGGGCCCAGCGTCGGGGAGGGCAGGGACCGATCAGGCACCGTGCCATGCTGCACCCTACGGCCCTCTGGTGCCACCCTCCACTTTTATTTTACTTTGTCTTTTTGAGACAGGGTCGCGCTATGCAGTTCAGGCTGTCCTGGAGCTCACTTTGTAGCCCAGGCTGGTCTCGAACTCGCAGCGATCCTCCTGCCTCAGCCTCCTGAGTGCTGGGATGACAGGCGTGCGCCACCACACCCGGCATGCCTTCCACTTTTAAATTTTAATTTCTTTCATGTTTTATTTATGCAAATTGCCGCGGCTCTCTGCAGCTGGTCCACGTTAGTCCAGGAGGTGACGATGCACCTGTGACGTCGCAACTCCTTCCTTTCAGGGTCCCTCTCTGCTGCGGCCGTCTCTCGGCCTCTCCCTTTTGCGAGGACCCACCTGCCTGTTTCCTGTTCTCTCTGTTATTTTGCTCTTCATTTACTTTCACCGAGTTTTTCATCTGACAGAAACCACGTGACACTTAGGGACTCTGCTGAGCCCCGCTTCTCTCACTCAAGTTCCAATCAACAGGAGCGGCCGCCCTCCTACAAAGGACTCGCGTTTGCCCTTCTTCCCGCAGAGCCGCGCTCCACGGTGTGTAAAGACCAGAACCACACTTTCCCTGGCCACTCGGTGACTGTAAGCCAGTGCCCTATCAGACCCAGGGACACCAGGGGGCGCTGTTCCCCACAGGGGTGCCACCTGGGTGGGGAGGGTCGCAGTCCCCCGAGACGGCCAGTACCCAGCCCCCAGCCCCGACCTGCCCACCGGGTCCCTGCAGCCGGTCACCACCGCCCGCCTGTCCCCACGTCCACACAGGGACAGCCACGGCCAGCGTCGCCCTCATGAGATCGCAGACTTCTCACCTCCAACTCCCCGGCGGATCCTCGCTGAGAAAAGAAATCTCTTAAAAAGGAGGAGGAAACGCTGGTGCGGTGGTGCACATGTGTGAGCCCAGCAATCTGGGGGAGGCTGAGGCAGGAGGATCTCAAGTTGGAGCACAGCCTGGACAACTTAAAATAAACCCTAAGAAATTTTAATGAAAGATTTCAAATCGGGCGTGCTGGGGATGCAGCTCAGTACAAAGCCTTGGGTTCAATCCCCAGTACAAAGAAGACAAGGTCAAAAAGCCGTCCTGGGAGAGAGCAGCTGATGAGGAGGCTCGGTCTCCCACCTGCGTGCCCTGCCCCAGGTCGCGGTCACGCAGGGCAGTGAGGTGGGAGGCGGCCACCTGCGCAGGAGGCGCGGGCCATCTGAGCGGGCCCCTGTGCCGGGGCCGCGTGTTGGGCGGCGGGGGTCGAGGCCGTGGTCCTGAGGACGCTCGAAGCCCCTGAGAACAGAGCTGCCACGCCCTCCTCAGAGGTGGTGATGAGCGGGCACGGACGGAAGGGACAGACCTGCTCCGGGGCGGTGGCGCACGGCCAGCCCCAGCACTCGGAGGCCGAGACAGGAGGATCGCTGACAGCTTAACATAGAGTGAGACCCTGTCTCAAAAAAACAAGAAGGGAAAGAAAACCGACGCTGCTCTGAGCGCCGTCGGGGGAAGCGCGGAGTGAAGCGGCCTGAAGCCCCGGCTGCAGCTCTGAGAAGCCCCGGACTTCGGGCCTCACGGTGCTGCCTCCTCCGGGCAGGACGGACGGGCAGGACGGACGGGCAGGAAGCGACTGGACCACCGGGGCTAGGACGCCCTCCCTCGGAGACGGCACGCACGGCGGCTCGCGACGCCCGGGATGCAGCCACGGGTTCCCTTCGGCAGCTTTGCGGGGCCGGCCGACTGAGCCCGAGGCGGGAGGTCCCCAGCCGCTGCACAGTCCTGTGCCACCGAGCCACGGGGGCCCCACCCCGCGCCCCAGCCGCCCACCTTCCAGGGAGGGCCACGGGACGCTCGCCGGCCCGCACCCGACACGCGGCCAGAGCGCTGCGGGGAGGGCCCGCTGCTCCGCACCGGGCCGGCGCAGACCCGGCCCGCGAAAGGACGGGAGCCTCACCCAGCGTCGCCAGGTCTGCGCGGATTCCGGCGCTTCCCAAGTCAGACGACGCAGGGGAGACGTCAACGCGCTCAGACACTCAGGAAAGGGGACTCGGAGCGGCTGCAGAAGGGGCAAGGACGACGGGGTAAACGTGTTCCAGGGGATTTTGAAGGGAATTAATGAAATCTGTCTGTCTGTATTTATTTATTCATTTATTCGTCTTTTTGAGACAGGGTCTCGCTATGCAGGTCAGGCTGGCCTTGAGCTCACTTTGTAGCCCAGGCTGGCCTCCAACTCACAGTGATCCTCCTGCCTCAGCCTCCCGAGTGCTGGGATTACAAGCGCACACCACCATGCCCAGTTCTGTCTTTAATTTTAAAAATTCCGGGGCTGGGGATTTAGCTCAGCGGCAAAGCGCCTGCCTGGCAAGCGGAAGGTCGTGAGTTCGATTCCCGGTACCGGAGAAAAACCAAAAAAAAAACAAACAAACAAATTTTAAAAATTCCAACAGTCCTGATATTTTTCAGTCACATCGTACTTTTTGTTGTAACCAGCGAAGCTGCTCCAGAGGATTCACAAAGCGCAGTGCACTGTAAAGCGGGAGGGGGGGGGGCTGGCTTTGCTCTCTGTGGGGCTACTTTCTCATGGAGTTTCCAGGGGGGAGTGCCCAGGTAGGGACGGGCTCCTATGAAACCTCTCCGCACCTGGAGACAGATCCCGAGCCAGCGCTGACACCGGGGTCACTAGGGGTCACTAGGACGCGCAGCTGTGTGAGGGTGTGAGTCACAGCGCGTAAAGGCCCCGCTCCGCTGAGCAAGCCTAGCCCGGGGGAGGAGGCCAGGCGCCCTCACCCACAGCCGGGGTCACCTGCTCCCTGCCCCAGGCGGCTTACACCTCCAGCCGCCTGGTGCTCCCAGGAGATCACAGAACAGCACCTCGGAGAGTCTCGGGCCGGAGCCCTCACAGCCTTCCCCACTTAGGTCCTGCGGCGGCTCAGTTCCGCGAGGATCATGAAACGCCCGAGGCGAGGTACTTAGGAAGCAGGGAGGTTTCCACAGCTCCCGGCTGGGGAGGCTGCAAGTCCAAGGCTGGGTGCCCAGCGCAGCTTCTGCTGGGGCTCGTGTGCACTCCCAGACTGGCAGCCACGTCCCAGACGGGAGGCCAGAGGCGGAGGGCGGCTCGCTCCTCTCCCAACCAGCCGCTTGGGCTTTGTTTGTGTTTGTCTGTGAAGGTGCAGCCCAGGCTGACCTGGAACTCATGGCAGTCCTGCTCGGCCTCTCGGGTGCTGGGTGCGGGCAGGCGCCACCACACCGGGCAACCACCCTCTTTGGAGAAGTCCCAAAGGCCACACGAGAGCCACCTTGTCCCTCTCCAGGGCGCGGCCCCCCAAGGGCCACCCGCCGACTCCAGCGTTAGGGTTGGACCATCCTGTCACCCTGGATCCGAAGCCTTTGACACGTGGACACATCAAGGCACTGTCAGACCGGATGCCCAGCAGCGCTCAGGAGATATATGTCTTCAAACAGGGTCTCCTCACGTAGTCCAGGATGGCCTTGAACTCACTGTGTAGCCCGGACTCAAACAGCAATCCTCCTGCCTCAGCCTCCTGAGTGCTGGGAAGAAAGGCGTGGACCACCATGCCCAGCTTGTGGATCAGCCTATTATTTTTTAATTAATTAATTTATTTATTGTCTTTCTAAGATAGCGTTTCCACTTTGCAGTTCAGGCTGGCCTTGAACTCACAGTGATCCTCCTGCCTCAGCCTCCTGAGTGCTGGGAAGAAAGGCGTGGACCACCATGCCCAGCTTGTGGATCAGCCTATTATTTTTTAATTAATTAATTTATTTATTGTCTTTCTAAGATAGCGTTTCCACTTTGCAGTTCAGGCTGGCCTTGAACTCACAGTGATCCTCCTGCCTCAGCCTCCCAAGTGCTGAGACAACAGGCGACCACCTCGCCTATTGAATTTAGAAGGTGAGGCTCTATCCTTAGCAAAATGTCTCCATCTAGTGTCAGATCCCCTACATGGATAAGGGACCTTAGTTTCCACAACAGATTCGGTTTTGTTTGAAACCTAGGGCTTCCTTTTCACGGCTGGGGGGAAGAAAATTACAAAGTTGGATCCCAAACGCGAACTGTTCCGCTTGTTCTCTCCACGGCTACATCAGACCTTCGCAGCTGGGTCTCGAGGCAGAAACATCGAGACGCATTCAGACGTCACGCCCGGGCTCCCCGCCGTCCCAGTCCTGACTGCGCAGAGATCCAGGCAGGCAAAGCGCCGGCAAATGCTTCCTCCTCTGCCCTTCCCAACTGCGCCCATGGAGAAGCCCTCTGGGGACCCTCGGCTCTATCAGCCAGGGTTGGGGAAACACCACCCCCCGGGACGCGGCCACCCGGACACCAGCCTGACCAGGGCTGTCCCCAGGGCAACGCCGGCGGGGAGGAACCAGGAGCTGCAGTGCTGCATCTGCCCAGCAGGGGGCGAGAGTGAGGCCGGGAGAGGGTGCAGCCAGGCCCCGGCAGGGTCGCGAACAGCAAACCAGCCCCTGCACCAGGCCCGGTGTTTTGCGGTGTCCTGAAAAGCGCTTGTCCAGCGCCAAGGCAGAGGAAAGCCCGGGGTCTGGGACTGTCACTCAGGCAGGCAGGACGAGAAAGGTCTTGGGGTGGGGGGAGGCGCTGTCTGTGACTGTGTGGGCTGGATTCAGGTGTGGTTATTGTATAATTTTGAATTTTTAAAAATTAAAATTGAATTAAGCTGGGCATGGTGGCACGCACCTGTAATCCCAGCACTTGGAGGCTGAGGCAGGAGGATTGCTGCAAGTTTGAGGCCAGCCTGAGCTACACAGTTCAAGGCCAGCTTGACCTCCCATAGCCAGACCGTCTCAAATGAAAATACATCTGTACATACAAGAGGCATCTGTATGGACTGGAGGTGTGTGCTGACAGTAGGTTAGGAGCTCATCAGGTATAATACTCTGGAGCCCAAAGACTAGAGAAGGGAGGAAAAGAAGACTGCGTGTGTGCAGCAGAGAGGGCTGGTCCTCTTTCTCCTCAGCCTCTGATTGCTCGTTTGTTCATGGTACTGCAGACTGAGCCCAACGCCTCTGCCCTGAGCTCCATCCTCAGCACTTTTGTTCTTATTTTTTAGTCTGGAACAAAGTCTCACTAAGTCACAGAGTTGCCCAGGGGTCTAAGACTTTCCACCCTCCTGCCTCAGCCTCCTATATGCACGCACCAATGCGACCAGCTACAACCCTTCTCTGTACGTGGAAGAGCCAACTCCCCTTCTCCCAACTGCCCAAGCCCCGGGCAACACCGCCCGCCCGCTGAAGGACTCTGACCGCACCCAGCCCTGCCAGCCTTGCCCGCCTCCCTGACCTCTGGGGTGCAGACTGTCACCTCCGACACACGGGCTGTGCACGGAGGGCCGTCCGCGTTGTGTCCCTCAGCCGCATGAGCTGTGCGGCACCGTCAGCGAAGCTGCCCCGTCTGTCAGCAGCTAACCCGCGGGTAACTGTGCGGCAGGGCGTCGTGAGCTCCGGTCCAGCCTGGGCAGTTTAGCGGCTCAGGGAGACCCTGTTTCAAATTTTCTTTTTTTAAAAAGGGCTGGGATGTAGCTCAATGTGAAGGCCCTGAGTTCAATCCCTAGTACTGAAAAAGAAAAAAAGGCCGGGGATACGGCTCAGAGGCACAGTGCCTTGCTTGGCAAGCGCAAGGTCCTGAATTTGATTCGCAGTACCAAAAAAAAAAGAAAAAGAAAAAAGAAAAAAAGCTGACTGTAACTGAAGTATAATTTCATGCCTCTTTCCCCAAGCCAGGAAAACAGATATTAGTACTTCACAAAATGAGGTCTTTAACAAAAGCATCTTGCTGCATTCTCTTTTAAAACTGAGCTATGTGTTTAACAGTACTCGTGCACGTTATCTACAGCTAATATCATTTAAATCAAAGAATTCCTGTGACATCGAGGTGTTCGTAAGTAATTTAAAAATAACTATAAGCTGGAACATATCATGGGCCTCTGGGGAAAACATTCTTTTTTTCAGTCAGAATTACTCAAGTAACGTGGGTTTTTCTCTCTTTTTTCTGAGACAGGGTTTTGCTATGCAGTTCAGGCTGGCCTTGAACTCACTTTGTACCCCAGGCTGGCCTCAAACTCCAGGCAATCCTCCTGCCTCAGCCTCCTGGGGTGCTGGGATTACAGGCGTGGGCCACCACGCCCCGAAGTAACACGTGTGAACCAGACAGGAAGATGTCGCCGGGGTACGTACCCCGCCCAGCGTGCTGCAGGCCAGGGCCAGGAACTTGAGCCACTCGATGCTGCCTCTGCAGGGGTCCAGCTGCAGCAGCGCCCTCAGCCTCTCCATGGGCAGGCACAGCGTCCGCCACCTATGCTCCAGGTCCACCAGGCTCACTTCCGGCTTGTGGCTGCACTGTTCGGAGGCAGATGACACTGTCAACGGGGGCGGGGGCCTGGGGCGCCTCCCACAAGCTGGGGACAGAGGCCACCGCTGTGTCAGCCCGGGCGGGCTCAAAGGGACAGAGGGCCGGGACACGAATATGCACCAAGTCACGACCCCCAAAATGGGCAGACGGTGGATACAGGCTCTCTGCTGTCTGAAATCACACACACACACACACACACACACACACACAAACTTCAGTAAATAAAAACATTTAAAAAGCTAGTACTAGCAGTGGCTAGTGGTGCCCACCTGTAATCCCAGCACTCTGGGAGGCTGAGGCAGGAGGATCACAAGTTTGAACCCAGTTTGGGCACCTGAGTGACTTAGCAAGAGCCTGTCTCAAAATAAAAATTTTTTAAAAGGCCTGGGGTTGGAGCTCGGTGCAGGGGCTCTGGATGCGCATCCAAGTACCACAAAAGTAAACGACATGAAATAAAAATCCAGTCCCCTAAGCATGGCAATGCTCAGGAGAAATTTTTTGGGGGAAAAAAATGACTGGGAATCGAACTCAGGACCTCACGCTCGCCAGGCGCTGCGCTGCTGGGCTATGTCCCCGGCCCCTCAAAGCTGAGTGCCAGGGCATCGCTTCCACTCTGCCCAACAAGCCATGACGGGCACGCAGCAGGCGGTCAGCGCATTCCGGGAACCACAGCGTCCTTCCCCAGCGCCACCCTTCACTCCCGGACGCCTCTCCTCAGGCCGGGCTCAGCGACATTCCTGACCTCAGAACGCCCTGCGGCGCACCAAGGCGCGGTGTTCATTTTCAGAATTTCCTGTTGTAGTTTTTGCTTTGTGTTTTCTAGTTCAGCAGAATCCACTTCATCTTACTTTTGTATTTAAAAGAAATTACATTTTACGTGTATGTGCGTGTACTAGGATCAGCATCAGGTATTCTCTCCCTGAGCCACATCTCCAGACCTTTATGTTTTATTCTGAGAAAGGATCTTACTAAGTTGCCCAAGCTGGCCTTGAACTTGGGACCCTCCTGCCTCAGCCTCCCAAGTAGCTGGGATTACAGGAGTGCAACATACACACATCACTTCTATAAAGTCTACGCGTGAACACCTTTTCAGGGTTCTTTCAGCATCGGGCAGGCAAGGTAGGCAGGGTGACCCGGGCGAGGCTCAGCCCACAGGCTTAGAAACACAGCAAGGGGCTGGGGATGTAGCTCAGCGGCACAGCGCCTGCCTGGCAAGTGCGACATCGTGAGTTCGATTCCCGGTACCGGAAAAAGAAAAGAAAAACACAGCAGCGGGACCTCTCCTACCTGCTTGTGCAGGACCTTCAGGAGTCCTTGGGTCAGGCCTGTGTCTGTTTTCTGGGTTGCCATGGGCATTTCGACTCTGTCTTTGATAGGAAGCGGATCTCCTCGCGACAAAGCTAAAAAATACCTGGTAACAAGAGACACCCCTGAAGCCAGTCAACACAAGGGCGCCCACGTCAGGCGGGTCCCCAGGCCCCAGAAACGCTGGTGACACGTCCCGGTCCCTCCTCCCGCTCTGACTTAGCCGGCTCTGTGAGTCTCGGTTTCTGCCTGCCTGCGTGCTCCTGGGGCTCCCCAGGCAGGGAAGGGCCCGGCGGTGGCGGGAAGGGGCTCCCTGACACCCGCTGTTCCTGTAAGCGCGGACGCCCCATGACACTGTGGGTGCGGCTCCCCCGCCTCGGCCTTGCTGAGAAATATATATATATTTCTTTTTCTTTTTTTTAAGCAAGAACCTTGAGAGAAGCTTTCAAAGGCAGCTGAAGGCAGTATTCACAAGTAGCTCTGCTGCTCCGTTAAATGACACCCCACCCCCGACACCCAGTCTTCCTCTCTGGCCCTGTGTTACCGTACATGGTAACAGCATCTCCGCAGGTTACCGATTTTATTTTTATTTTATTTTATCTTTGTCTCTTTGAGACAGGATCTCGCTATGCAGTTCAGGCTGGCCTTGAGCTGACTTTGTAGCCCAGGCTGGCCTCGAACTGGCAACAATCCTCCTGCCTCAGCCTCCGGAGTGCTGGGATTACAGTGTGCACCACCATGCCCAGCTAGGTTACCAATTTTAGATGGGAAAATTATCCTGGATTATCTGGACACCTCCTAAATGTAAATCACACATGTTTTCAGAAGAGACAGGCGTAATACTCGGGTGGTAGTGCACACCTGTAATTCCAGCTCTCTGGAGGCTGAGGCAGGAGGATTGCCTCAAGCTGCAGGCCAGTCTCAAAAACATCAAAAGAAGGAAGCAGAGAGAGAACTGAAGGCCTGTGAGCAGAGACGTTGAGAGCGCAAAGCAGCAGCAGGGAATCTCCTTCCAGCGCCCAGGAGGGGCGAGGCCTGGCCCGGGCCTTGATCTGAGCCTAGTGAAACTGCTGTTGGAGCGTCGCCTCCAGAACTGTAAAGATAAACGCTGTTTTACGTTGTGAGGAGTTGTGGTCGTTCGTTACAACAGCCAAAGGAAACTAATTCACCCTGCTTATGTGTGCAGTTTAGAGAAAGTCAGCAAAATCTGATGTCAGCTACTAAACATATCACAGTTACACTTAGGTTGACTCTAGCCGCTCAGCAAGAGGGTTTTCTGTCTTTGTACCGAGAGTGGGCAGAGAGCTTCTCCGTAAAACGTTTCAGGAGGTTGGTTCCACGGTCTGGGTCTGCTGACCTTCCTGCTCGCCGCGAGAAACCGGAGGTTACCTTACCGCGAACTGCGCTGGCCTTGGGTGAGCACTGCAGAGGTCCCTGGGGGTTCCGCTCTAACAAACTTTGCCTAAGGCGACTGCTTCGCGAGCCCTAGTCCACCTGCACAACTGACTGCCCTTACTTTGTAGGTAAACGAGCATTTCTGAACAATTTCTGGTCTCGCGGTCAAAGACAGCATGGTCCCTAGACAGACAGACAGACAGACAGACAGGAGAGAGGCCGCGGGGCTCAGGACAGCGGGGGCCGCTTACCCCGCGGACCACTGCAGCAGGTCGGCGGGCTGGGTGCGGATGGCAGCCTTGGTGAACTGCTTCAGGATGTCCGGCAGCTCGGGGGGGATGTGGATCTGCTGCGCGCAGAACATGGTGTCGGGAAGCGGCATCGCTGCAGCGGACCGCGACAGCCTGGGGGAATCCAAATGTGCTGAGGGCCGGGCAGGGCCGCCTCCCCGCCCCGTCCCTCCCCCGTGCCTCCTGGGGCAGCTCCTACCGGCTCCTCCTCGGGCTCCGGACGAATGAGGGCTAACCGCCGCCGCAGAGACGCCCCGCACCGGGCCGCTGCCTCCAGCCCCAGCTACTGTTGCGTCGCGGTATCCAGGCAACCAGGACGCGCTCGCGGGCCCCGCCCCTGAGCGCTGCGCACGCGTACTGACTCGGGCCGGGAAGGAGGGGGGTTCGCGCGTGCGCAGTTGGCTCGGAAGGCTTCGGCTCTGGAGGGTGGAGCTGCACGAATCGAATTTCTCACTTAGAGAAAGGCCTCTTCCTCCGCCGAAGTGAGCGGCGAGGTCCCGAACATCCCCGCCGGTCTTGCTCTGGCTGCTTGAGGCTTAGCGCAGGAGCTTCGGTCACCGAGGAAGGCAGCGTGCAGTGACCCGCGGCGCCCCCTGCGCAGCCCCGGGCGCGGCTCGCTCCTCTGCAGCCTGCGGGAGCCACGAGGAGCCCCGCGGCGGCCGGGAGTCTGTGAGCTGCTGCCGGCGGACTCCGGAGCAGGCCGCCCTCGAGGGAGTGGGGCCCGTTTCAGCGTTTTCCTACCCGATCAGCGCGCATGTTCAAATCAGTACCGCTGACAAATACTGCACAAACGTTTGACGTTGACGGTGTGGGCAGTCTCCAGTGCCCTTGAGGATGGAAGTGTTAATTACTACATTCGGGGGCAGCTTGCACCCCAAAAATGTGTGGTGACTTAGCACGCTTAGGAATTCATCTTACAGAAATACTAGCCTAAGTATTAAAAATGTGGACAACATGTTAACTAGAACTTGTAATTAAATGGGCTACCTAATTATCTTTCACAAAACTAGAATGCTGGTCTGTCCACATAATTGAAGACAGCACAGCCAGAATTTTAGAATTGGGTAAAGGTGAGTGTTGTGGTACTGAGGCAGAAGTGGAGGATCATTTGAACCCGAGTTAGAGACCAGCCCGGGCAGCACAGCCCGCGAAATCTGATCTCCAAAAGAACTCCAGATGGCTCCCGCCTGTCGGGAGGCTGAGGCAGAAGGATCTCAAGTTCAAGGCCAGCCGAGGTAACTTAGCAAGATTATGCCTCGAAACCCCAGGCAGAAAAAAAAAGGGGGGAGCTACTTATGTACTGATAGAAAAAGATGGCCATGGCGGAGCATGCCAGCGCTCTGGGCAGCTGATGCAGGATCACAGGGTGGACTCCAGCCTGTGCAACGCGGCAGGACCCTGTCTCACAATAAACCAGACAAAAGGGCTGAGGGTGTAGCCCGTGTGAAGGCCCTGGATTGAATCCAGTGGGGGTGGGAGGGTGCCCATGCCCTGTAAAGTTAAAAACAAGCACGCCGCAGAACAATGTGCACGGTGACACCTTTGTGATTCTGCGGAGGTCTGTGCAGGCGGAGGTTGGAAATGCAGCAACCTCTGCAGACTGAAACTTTTTAAAAAGCGGAGAACTCAAGTTTTATTTTAACCATTTTAGTCAGCAGTACTGAGAACCAGGTATGTGCCTGGGACCGTTCTAGATGCTAAGAACACTAATAATTTGGTTTATAAATAAAAGCTTTGGAGCTTACATTCAAGTGAGAAAAATGTGCAAACATAAAAATAAGTAAACCACACAGTGTGTGAAAAAGCATGAAACAATGAGCCAGACGTGGCGGTGCACCGCCGTAATCCCAGCACTTGGGAGGCTGAAGCAAGGGGATCGCTGTGAGCTCAAGGCCAGCCTGGGCTACAAAGTGAATTCAAGACTAGCCTGAACTACATACCAAGACCCTGTCTCAAAAAGCCAAAAACAAAAACAAAAAAAGCTATGAAAAGTGCAGTAGCAGATGAGATAGGAATACCCCGCAGCTGCGCTTTCAGATTTGCCTCAGTTCAGGAGTAAGAAGCCTGGGGAAGCCTGACTGAACCTGAGGCACAGCAAACCGTGCAAAGGCCCTGAGGCCCAGGGCCGCAAACACGGGTGAGGCGGGTCCTGCTGGTGTTGAAGGCTGTGGTGACAGTAACCCTGCTGACATCATGGTGGCAGTCCATCAGAGGGCTCGGGCCGGAGGACTGCTGTGATCTGATGTCAGTCTTCAACAGGAGCGGTCTGAGTTCAGTGTTAGAAGGAGTGAAGAAAAGGACAAAGCAAGGGCAGAGGCAGGGAGCCCAGAGAAACAGCAGCGATGCAGACGGGGGGAGACCACGGGACTGTACACCGCAGGCCGGCAGCCAAGGTGGGGAAAGCAGCTCACCCGTATCCGCTCTGAAGACTGGAGTTGCTCTCAGCCTGGACACGGAGTGTGGGAGAGAAACTGTCAGGGGTCTTCCCGACATTTTTGATTTAGCAACTTTCATGCTTGGATCCAACTCTGCACCCGTGGAGATGGAGAGGTTTGCAAAACGGCAGGCTAGGGTGGTGTTAGTTTTCCGCTGATGTGAAAACACCTTCGAGGGAGGAACGGTTTATTCTGGCTCACAGTTTATAGAAGGTCGAGTTCCCGGAGAGCTGGCTCCACTGCCTTGAGGCCTTCCGTCAGGCAGAAACAGCATGGCAGAGGGCGTGGTGCAGGAAAGTGGCTCACCTCAGGGCAGTGGGAAGCAAATGGAGAGCTGTCCAGAGAAGCCAGGGGCCAAGCATATCCTTCAAGGTCACCCCCAGGGAAGTGCTCCCTGTCCGCTAAGCTACAAATTCATCAGCGTATTATCCACAGATAAGTTACATGATCCCGTCACCTTCTGAAAGCCCATCAGCTGGCAACCAAGCCTTCCTAGCAATGAGCCTCTAGGGGGCATCTTTGGTAACAACTGTAACAGGAGCAGAGGAAATCCCAGGTTGTGCTTTGGACCTAAGTGGGGATCTCTGAAAAATGGCCACATAGACAGCTGCACATTGATGTGTGCCGTTTAAGGAAGGAAAATGGAATACGGGTGTGTATGTACCTGAGAATGATCCGTACTGATGACCGGTATGGCCCTGAAACTGAGCCCCTAGCCGAGGGGGTCCCAGACTGAGCCCTGGGGTTTGTAACACTGGGAGAAAAGATAGAGCCAGTGAAGTTTAAGAAGCAGGATCTACACGGGTAGGAAGAAAATCAGGAGTGCAGTGTTCTGGCAGCTGAGCAGATGGTTTCAATGGAGAGGAAATCAGCAGTGTCAGAAGAGAAAGGACAGGTGAGACCTGAGATATTTACAGGACAATTTCAGTGGAATACTGGGAGCGACCCCTCACTGGAGTGGGGCTGGAGGAGCGCGAGCTAACTCTCCAAGGGCGTGTGCTGAAGACACAAGTGACCTTGACAAGCCCGTGGAACAAGTCAGGATTGTTAGTGGAAGAAGTCACAGCCATGGTGGATGACTTTGGAAACAAGCCAGTACACAGGGGGCAGACCTGCGGGGCCCAACATCTGAGCAGGTAGAGCCCACGGGAGCTGCAGAAGCAGCATGCCCGACAGGACACAGCCCGCACAAGTGGGGACCGTATGGACACAGGTATAGGTTGGAGGGTGGCAGACGTGATGGTGTAACCTTGTAAAACTTCTCTTTGGACTGCTTCCATCTTCTCTGTGACATAGGAATGAAAGTATCAGAAGTGAGGAAGGGGAAAAGTATGAAACAGTTCTTTTAAAAGGGCAGGTATGACCAGAGCATCCTTTTAAACTAAGGCATAATTAACCTAAACTGGATACATTTAAAGTATGCAGTTTCCTGAGTTTTGACACGTGTATACATGTCAGACCAGAACCACATCCAGATACCAAACACATCCATGGCCCATGCCTCCACGTCCCCTGCTGCCACTGATCTCATACTTCCCCTCCCCTGTAGTTTATTTAGAAGAGATCACACAGCACATTTTTGGTCTTTGGGAATGATCATTTCGAGATGTGTCTATGTGGCATGCAGCAAGCTCCTCTCTCGTGTGGAGCACCAAGCCACCGCTCAGATCCCACGCTGTGTACCCTTACCTGCCGGGAGACACGTGGACTGCTCCCAGCCGGTCTTCATGTGGGCACGTGCTCGCCTCCTGGCAAGTAACCAGAGGTGCTCAGCGTGGAAGAAACTGCCAAACTGCTCTCCAAAATCATCACACCGTATCACACTTCCTCTGGCACTGAGAGTTATTTTTATTTTTATTTTTTCATTTTTTTTTCTGGTACCAAGAACCGAACTCATAACCTTGCGCTTGCCAGGCAGGTGCTGTGCCGCTGAGCTAAATCCCCAGCCCCTCGGCACTGAGAGTTCCAGTTCCTCCACAGCCTCTCCCATGCATGGGTCAGCATTTTTAATATCAGCCATTCTAATATAGGGTGATAGTTCATTGTGGCTTTAATTTGCATTTTCTAGGAATTACACTGAGTATCTTACATGCTGATTTGCCATCTGCAGGTCCTCTTTGATAAAGAGGACTTCAATATTTTGCACACTTTAAAAATGGGCAGACAGTGGACTTAATGAGCTTTGGGTTTGGTGTATTCTAGATGCATGTCCTAAAGTAAATGTTTTGCAAATCTTTTCTGCCACACTATGGCCTTTTGTTGTTAGTCTCTTGCAAAGAGGTTTGCAAATCTGATCAAGGACAATTTATCAATTTTTTTCCTTAAAAATCTGTCTAACCCAAGATTATTTTGGGTTTTTTTCCCCTAGAAATGGTATGATTTGGGGCTGTACTTTTAGGACCCTAATCCACTTCAAGTTCAGCTCTTGTGTACGGCATGGGTCCATTCTTAAACTTTGCATCTTGCGTCCACTTATTCCATCACCTTTTCAAGCTGTCTACATATATGCCGGTCTCTCTCTGGACTCTTCGGCTGCATCAGCCCTACAGCACAAACGCAAGGGTGAATGTGGGTCCTGGGGAAGAAGTCTTGCTTCTCGAGGGGGTCTAAAGAAGTGACCTGGCAAAGTGGAAAAGCTTAACAACTCAGGCACAGCCAGGCGCGTAAGGAAGACGTTTTTAAAACATGACGCTTAATCAGCGCAAAGTGAGCGTGCCGTGTTCACAAGGTTCCTGAAGTGCCGCACCAAGTGGGACAGGCTGCAGGAGGCTGGCGGAGGAATTACGGGAGCGCAGCAGTGCTGGCCTAGAAGACAGCAAGCAGGCGGAGGGGGCACCACATGCTCCCTGAGCGAGCCCTTCCTGTGTGTTCCGAGCACCCTGCGCTCACTTCTACGCGAGCACTGCTCACTTTGTCGTCTTCGTCACTGCAACTGAGTTCTTGAAGGCGAACGTCACACCTCATTCAACTGTCGTACAGTGCAACAGACGGAACGGACACCAGAAACACACACAGAGCAGCCAGGCAGCCCATGTGCCTGCTTCACCGGCTCTCCTAGTGGCTCGTGTGTGCAACGAGCGGCTCCACACTGGAGGGGCGGAAACTGGTGGTCGGTCAGTCTCTGAGCCTCACTGCTACTTCCTTTGACAAAACTCTTCCTTCCACTTCAGATTAAAGATACCTCTACTGCCTGGCAAGCGCGAGGTCATGAGTTCAATTCCCGGTACCAAAAAAAAAAAAAAAAAAAAATAGGTATCTCTAGTTCACAGGTCACCTCCCCTCCTGCAATTAAAAAATAGAAATGCACTTGATGGGGAGGGGGGAATGACATAGGAATGTCGCAAGTTTGAAAAACTGTGAGCCTAGAAATGAGGATAAAAAAATCAGTCTGAAGCAAAAGGATCTCTTCACTGGGGGGGACATTGGAGGAAGAACCCTCATCCACATCTCTGTTTCTGGAGACACATGTCAACCACACCAAACCGGTTCCACTTCGCTGACTTTCTCAGAGTCTCCATCTAACGGGGCCTGGGGAAGCCCTGGCTTTCGGGTCTGGTAGAGGCGGCCCAGGAAGTGGAAAGCTCCTTGCCTAGCACCCAGGGAGCGGCTTCTGGCCTTTCCAGTAAGGGTGGTCCACAGTGCAGGCGGCAGGAAAAAGAAAAAACGTGTTCTTTACATCCCTGCTTTTAGATGTATTCAGTGTATGTGCCGCTGAAACGAGCGCAGACGTATCCACAGTGGGAGGGCCTACACCGCACCCAACTAAAGTTCTGTTTCTTACAATGTTGTATTAAAAATATTTGGGTTATCTACACATGCTAACGAATAGTACACATTCCCTTTGCTTTGTTTGGGAGACAGGGTCTCCCTGTGTTGCCTAGGCTACTGAACCTTGCACTCAAACTACTGAACTCCAGCAATCCCGCTGCCTCAGCACCCCCGACAGCTGGGACTACAGGTACACACCAGCACATCTAGCTTCACATTTCAGTTATCTTAAGATAATCTTGTTACAAAACAAAAACAAACCAAAAAACAAACTAGGCTACAACTAACATCCACTTTATTCAGTTTTGTTCTATCGACTCAGAAGGCAACAAATGACCACATAAAAAAGGGAACATTTTTAATGTACACATATAAAACTGGTCTAGGTATCTAAGATGTTTGATTTAATAAAAAATTGACATCCCAATTGCCTAAGAGTTCTATTTAGCTTCTACCAGCCATTCCTAGGCCTTATTACATTTTCTACAGTGTTTTATTACTTTCATGACTACAAAATGAGGCACTCATACAAAATAGACAGGAATACATATCTTTATGTATATCGATGCCCAAGATATCAGGGATATTTGAAAGAAGCCCTTACTCGTGATGGTTGTTTAAAAACGACACACAACAGCAGTAAGCTGGAAAGCAAGCATCTGACTGACAGGGCCAACGAAGAAGGTAGATACGAGACAGTTTGACCGCCGAGAACCTCCGCCACGAGGAGTGCACAATACTTCAGTGGCAGACACATTAGTTTGTCTTCTCTTGTTGCTAAGTAACATGCTAAAGGAGGGTTTAAACATAATCACTGAATTTTACAGTGTAAAAAAGTATGATCAAATAGTTTAATAGATTCAATTCTGAAAAAAAAAATAAGTGGCTAACTTGCAAAGCTTTAAAAAGTGCCAGGGTTCTTTTGGCACTAGTCTCCGGTGTGCATTTGCAAACACAATACAGTGTAGAAATTTCCAGTGTTTCTTTTCTGTTTTGTTTTTAAAAGTCATTAATTCAACCTAAATTCAAGAATTACTCTGATAGCATAATGCTAACAGAACAACACATCTAGGATCAAATCTTTGAGGGAAAGTTATCCTCTACCATTTGTGTAAGGGAAAGAAAACAACACAAGACAAGGTCCACAGTAACAACAGCTGTATTAAATACGGAAATAAAAGTTACTTGTTTACATCTGGAACGAAGATGTCCCATCTTCTTTGCTTCTCCAGAGAACAAGGGGGAGGAGGGGCGGGATAAAAACACTGAGCTTTGAAAGGCTAGCTACACACAAACTGCACAATGGCCTTTTTCTTCAATTTCATCTCAGTTATTAGCACTTTATAGTTCCAAAACCAAACATAATTTGCTAATAGTGAACAAATGAACAGCTTATACGATGACCACCTGATAACTGGCCATGTAAGACTAACCTCAAATGCTGATTTGTCTTCAACTGATAAGTAGTGAAGATAAAGAAAGCAACAAGGTCTTCTTCCTTGAAGACTTTTAGCTCAATGTAAATTGAAGGAAAATTACAGTATAATTTTAAAAAATCTATGTGAAGAAGGCCAGCAAAACTAATACTCTAAGAACTATGGGTTTAAAGTATTTATACCTATTGGTTAATAATAAAACCCGGATGGCTACCCAAGCAAATACCCCAAGGCTCCTTTCCTTAGAAAGGGTTTCTCTCCCTGAAAACACAGGACAAAGCACACCTGAAGAGGAGGGATGTCCTCAGAAAGACAATATAAAGTTATCTGCCAGTGAAAGAAAACAAGGGCAATTTTTGGCCACACACACACACACACACAATTTTTTTTTAATAAAACGTAAAATTCATTGAAAATTTCATGGGATTGATAATCTTTAAGCTTCTATGGTATCTACCTAGATCTGTTTTTAAAAATGTGTTCTAATGACTTTAAATCAAGACCTACAAATTCTCTGAAGCTTAAAAATAAATTAATTAATATGATCAAATTATATGCCCAATTATGTATTTTTCTCATGAAAAGAACTTATGTAGCCATATACCATGACAGGTGGCATTACGCTTTCAAATGCTCCAAATTTTTTACAGTAGGACTGTATTTCTGAATATAGGTCTAGCAAAACAACAGAAAGGGTTACTACAAAGTGCGAAAGAGTGTTAACACTGAATCCTATGTCAAGCATTTTTTTTATACTGATGTTTTAAAATAATTTTAAAGTATTTCCTTATCACTTAGGGAAAAACTACTAAGAAATAAAACTATCAGAACATGTTGCTCTTGATTTTGGTAGCTTATGTTTGGCTGACTTCCATATTTTTAAAAAATTCTGACTTTATGAGTTTTAATACTATATGGAAATTCTTTTATAGTTTCTAATGACCTACACTGTCCATTTTTATGAGAATTTCTAAATTGTCACTCAAAAGCAAACACTACCCTTACAATATACCATTAGCATTAAATACTTAGATCGTGTAACCAACCATTCTCTTCCTCTGAACTTTGAACTGGATGCTTTGGTAATAAGGGAAAATCAAGTTTATATGTGTTCAGTTCTCTGAAATGTTTTATAGCATGTTTGCAATGAAATACATTCCTATGTGAAAAGGCGGGCTCAGCCAGCTTTCTTTGCAATTTTATTCTGTAAACAGAAAGCTTTGGAAACTTTAGGATTTACTGATAAAAATGTAGGAGAAACGTGCTCACTAACCCTCTCCCAATAATGCACTGAGTAGCAGGAGCGGGCACTCCAACCAGGCTTCTCTGGTGCTGGCAATCCGAGACCACAGCCACATCTGCTTAACAAGCATCGCAGTGTCTGACACCCAGTCAGATGCAGTGTGGTGGTGATGTGCCTCCCTAAGACTTATGATCTTGCACAATACTTCTGACCAGAAGTAAGAGTGGTGTGGAAGGGGGATATGGGGACTAATGAAAATCTTTTGTCCTTTTTTTTTTTTGCCTTTTTTCCCTAAGTATAGACATGCCCCTAACAAGCACAAAAACCTGACTCCCAACGCTGATCACTAGGAATATTAAATTATCAAAATTAAAAATAATTTCCTCACCTAGCACAAGATACTATACAATATTACAAACACAGACACATGAAAAAAATCAGGCAGTAGAAAATGTACAACAGCTTTGGTGTTATACAAAATAATTTCCAAAAATGACGACAGTGAAGCACACAGTTCACGGCCTCTGACCACAGACCCTCCACTGCCGCCGGCTACCTGCTTCCTCGCGGCTCCCGTGAGGTGCGAGCAGCCCAGACAGACAGAGCGGACAGTTACTGCGCGGGAACGGCTAGGACTCCACGAGCTGCGCTCCACCGCGGCTCTGCAGTCTTGCCTGTGCTACTGCTCTGTGGCACGATTCCTGTCGAGATCACAGCAGGTCCAAAGTAAAGTGACAACTAGACTTAATAAATTAATATACATTTGTTTAAAGATGTACAATGCACATTCTGTTTAATCCAAGGTTTAGGGTATCAAGGAGCTTCTATGTACACATATACAGATCTCAGACAGCAGTGATGTCGGCAGATGCGGGGTGGAGCAGCGGAGCTGTACGAGCCGCCCTCTGAATGCTGAGGATACAAGTCAAGTACAGGTAACTTAAAAACAACGCTGAGAGACCATGGGAACTCTCCAAAGTGAGAAGTCCACGAAGAGGACATGTAAAGGCAAGGGCAAGGCCAAGGAGTTGAAACGACCACTTTACTCTTGGGACGATGGTGGAGGAGGCGCAGAGGTGCCCTGCTTGCCAGCCTTCCGCTCGTAATTCACCAGGCGCTGCCCCACAAGGTACCTAGGTTGGAAACAGGTGGTCACTCTCTTGCACGACCTTTCGCGTCATGACGCATTTTTATCGCGAATGACATCCTCTTACTCCTCTGCCTTTCCGGAGTTAGGGAGCTAAGAGAGGGGTCTGGGGGAACACAGACACAGGCGCTGGACGTGAGTGGGTTTGCAGGAAGATGCAGGGTGGGCCCAGCGATCACCCAACGCCCGACGCTGGGTGGTGCTGCATGTACTGCCGTCAGGGCGTCAGGGCAGCCACGTCATGTCTGACCCGAGGAGCATGGGAAATGACCCCAGGGGGCTACCTGTTAAGGTGCACAGTTCAGAACCCAGCTCTGCGGCACCATCTGAGGGAAGAGACTAGAAATGACCATCAGAAGGCCGGGCAGGGTGCAGCAAGACCTGCAGAGTGCTGCAGGCGGCGTGCAGCCAAGGAAGGCCATGGTGGCAGCAGGAGCCACGAGGTGGGAAGGCTGCTCACAGCACGGAGCCACACCAGGAGGCTGCTGTGAGAACGGGAAGCAGCCAGCCCGGGACCGTGCCCGCCGTGTCTGTGCTCGGCGGGCTGGGCAGGCCCTGCTGCTCAACCTGCCGGTGCCACCCGGCCCTCGTGCCTGGCTTCTCTCTGGTGCGGCTGCCCCCCAAGTCTCTGTGCACAAAGAGCTTCCAGGCCGCTGACCTCGGTGCGGGCGTGGTCTCTCTTATCAAGCCTTTTCTTGAAGTGAGCGACCTTGCCTCAGTGTTCCCTCACAAGCTAGTGCAACTCGGGGCTTCACAACTTTTCAGTGAGGGCATCTGACACAGCACAATGGTGACCAACCAACACTGTAAGGTATTTCAAGGGTGTGCCTCACTCTGTGGCAATGAACCACCAAGGGCATAAAGACTGCAGAGAGCAGAAACTAACTTGTCCAAAGCCAACAGGAATTCAGTGCAGGAAAGTGGGCGTCTCAACCCCAGCCTGACTCTAGACCTACTATGCTTTCACGCCCCAGCAGAGCACCACTGAGGGATACACGCTACGCGGGAGACGCGCTGAGAACAGCACACTGGGCTGAGGACAAAAGGCACCAACGGGCCACTGGGCATGGGCCTGTGTGGCCGGGCGGGGAGAGGCAGAAGGCTCCTGAGGGCCGGTCTCGTGTGCAGCTCCATCTGCACTCCTCCTCAGCCACGACAGGCCACGTGATACGAGGCCCCGTCCTCACTGGAAACAGCCCGTGCCCTTCAGAGCCACCATCCGTCCTACTCCAAGCACACCTATGCACAGGGAGCACGCGTGGGGAGACGCCTTCAACACCTCCATCTCATTCTTAAAAACAGCCTTCCTGGGCTGTGGCTATGGCTGCGTGCCCTGGGCTTGGCCACAGGATCCCACAGTAATAAAGTGGCTACATGATTTACTCTCCTGAAAGGGCATCACAGTGGTGCTGTCTACAACGGCACAATGGCCCAGGAACTGAGGGGACAGTTTCGGTCTCTGCTGACCACTGCCACAGCACAGGACACAGCCGCTGTCGAGACACAGAAGCTCAACTGCTGTCCAGGAAGGGGCTCGGCCCGGCTCCCCTCTACCTCCCAGCAAGACCAGGTGGCACAGAGGACCCCTGATTTCTGCAGGCCCTCGGAGCCTGGCTGCTAATACCGGGTCTGGCCTGCAGCTGCAGCTACTGGACACACTGTCCACCCAAAACCTCTGAGAGCAGACTGAAGCCATGCAGGACGCCAGGAACAGCTCTGGCCCCGCCCATGGCAACACCACAGCCCTTGCTGCTCAGGAGTCCCGGGGCCCACTCTCCTCCACATCTCACAGCCAGCGGCCGACAGAGCCCGCCACGCCACCTTGGCGCCCATCCAAGCAGGAGCCACTGCCCGCCTGTGAGGGAGAGGGAAACACCTCACAGAAGCAGATAACCAGCGAGGTTCTAGACTTACTTGTCATTTTTAATATGTTCATAAAGGCGCTTAAACTGGCGGACCTGGAAGGACAGGATTCCCATCAATACCACGACCATCAGTAAAAATGGATAAATCCGCCGGTGGACTAAGTTTTGCATTTCGGCAGTTACACCTGTAAAACCACAAAGGAGAACTTTAAGGGTCTGTTGCCATGGTCTGTTTGCGGGCTCGTGGGGCTCTGACAGGCAGGGGACCGCTAAAGGGTAGGGCCTGGTCAGAGGGAATTGGGTCACTGGAGCCTCACTGGGAGGGCATCCATGCTCATGGCCAAGTGAGGGACTGAACGCAGAGCCTGCCCCCGCCTCTCGCTGGCTTCCTGTCTCGTCACAGGATGCCTTCCAAGTGCCACCAGGATGCTGGTACCATACACACGAGGCTCACACAGTGGCCAACCAATGGGCTCCCCCAGGCTGTGATGTTCAGCCTTCAGACTGTAGGCTCTTGTTTGTTTGGTTGGTTTTTTTTCCGGTACCGGGAATTGAACTCAGGACCTTGCGCTTGCCGGGCAGGCGCTGTGCCGCTGAGCTAAATCCCCTGCCCCTATGTAGGCTCAACCTCTGCCCCATTAGAACACCCATTTTCAGGTGTTCTGCTATAGCAACAGCAAATGGAGGAAGGTGCATGTGCGGTAACAATGAAATGAACCATGTCTGCCCTGTAGGAAGAGGGTCTGGGTACACAGTAAAGTGGGCTTCCAGCATGAGCTTCCCAGGCTCCAGACCTGCTGATTTTCTGCAGCCTGAGGGAGCCATGGGCCTTCCCAACAATCATTTCTAAACTATCAAAGGAGGGAGCGAGATTGGACAATCGCTACACTTTCTTTGAGCTCAAACATTCTGGACTCCACAAGTATTTGATATCATTCCAGCTATTTCACAGTTCAAAACACAAAAACAAAAAGTTGCGATTACTGTACTTTTAGAACATTCAAATATTTGTTTTTCAACTTTTACTTCATTAAGTTTTAATTCTTCCTTGGCGGGAGGGTGGCTTTAAAGTCAAATGAAATCCGGGCATGGTGGCGCACGCCTGTAATCCCAGCACTTGGGAGGCTGAGGCAGGAGGATCACTGTGAGTTCGAAACCAGCCTGGGCTACAAAGTGAGCTCAAGGCCAGCCTGAACTGCATAACGAGATCCTGTACCAAAAAGACAAAAAAAAAGTCAGATGAAGTATTTCAAAGGAAGTAAGTTAATATTCTCAATGGGTTATGTCAAACACTGCAACAGTCCACTGTAGTAGAGGCAGCTAAGGCTCTGGATCAGGCTCTGCACAGGGCTTGGACTTGATTCTTCCTCTCCTAACACATCATATGTATGTGTCCTAATTCCCTAAGATGTCACTATCACATATCACAAACATAAGCTAATAAGAAAGAGAACTGAAAAAAAAAACTCTATAGACTTTCAGAAAGATTCTCAATCCTATAACCTTATTTCCTCATCTCTAAAATTTTAGACCTGAAAGAGGAAATGAAAAACTGCTCAGCAAAGAGATACAATGAGATCCAGTCTGTGAAGTCACCGTGGCCACTATGAGAAAGCATTACTTCGCAGTAGCAGAGGAGAGCGGGAAGACCAGACAGGAGGCCACTACAGTTAAGGCGAGAGACAAACGCCTCAGTGCTGCCCAGGCATGAGGTCCTCAGGCCAGATCAGCTGCGATCTGGAGCCCACTGGATATGGCTGACAGAGAACACAAGGTGAAATGAAACCTTCCAGACTTGTATCACTTATTCAGTAATTACAATGACAATACCCAGACAGAATTCAGAAGAACAAAAGATTTTTTTTTCTGAGACAAGGTCTTGTTATGCAGCCCAGGCTGGCCTCGAACTCATGGCTATCCTTCTGTCTCAGCCTCCCAAGTGCTGGAATTACAGGCGTATGCCACCACGCCCAGCAAGAACAGAAAGATTCTTCAGATAATTTTGAAAATATACTGGTTTTAATATCCTGTAAGGAACCTTCAGTAACAATTAATATTGTAACTAGTTATTAAGTGTCACAAATTAATTAGCACCTCCACTTTAGTTTCTCTTTTATACTAAGAATACCTTTAAAATATAGTAACACTCTTACTTAATTTTACAAATATAGGATCACAGCACTTCTAATAAGAAAACTTAAGAAAATCTGATCCTGCCTATTTTGGGAAGAATATAAATGCCAATACTTTATCACCTGCCTATACACACACACACACACACACACACACACAAAAACTACTAATAGGGCTGAGGATATAGTTCAGCGGCACAAGTGCCTGCCTGGCAAGCTCAAGGTCCTCAGTTCAATTCCCAGTCCTAAAAACAAACAAACAAATAAACAAAAACCCTACCAATAATTTGAGATTCTTCTACTCTTACCCTGAGTAATCAAACCTAAGAAAGGAATTGTGAAACCACTGTTCTATATTTACACCTTTTTTAGAGACAAGGTCTTGCTACGTAGTTTAGGCTGGCCTTGAACTCATGATGATCCTGATGCTTACTGCTGGGATTACCTGCGCGCACCACTGTGCCCAGCTGTTTTATATTTACAAAAAGCATTTGGAGTCCCAACAGCTTTGCTACCATACGTGACACAGACATGCACAGTAACGAAGTACGCCAGCGCCAGCGAGGCTCCTCAGCCAGCACGACCCACCTAGCAGAGGAACAACACCAGAAGCAATGACGTAAGGGACACACAGGGACAGCAGGAGCACGGAGATCACCGGAGCTGCCAGTTTACGGATGATGTAGTGAAGGTCAATGTTCCGGATGCCATTTGCATAAACCTACACATTAAAAAACCCAATTAGCATAAAGATACTAGATAAACTCCCTCAAGTTAACAGAGGGATCTGTACTGAAATTAAGCTACAGTGAGTTGAATCTGTCAGTCCAAAAGGATTAAAATTGGCTTTAAAAAAAAAGGATTAAACCTGGCTATTTTTCCTAAGTCAAGGCAAACTCCAGGGTACAAACACAGGCCATGGATCTGAAAATCTAGAGAAAATACATTTCCTATTCACACTTCCTGTTAACCCGCGTGCTGAGAGGACAGCACTCGTCTAGAGTGGTAACAGGCACCCTCCCTGCACCTCAAAATACCAGATACCGCGTAACTTGAAGCGTCGTAACCCTTGTCTAAGAATGATTTGTATTGTGACTTAAAATTATACTTATTTTGTATGAAAGTGACTTGAAAACACGAAGCATATTTCTGAAAAGTTGGTAAAAGCGAAAGGTATTTTATGTAATAGAATTACATGAAAGAATTAAAATTAAAAATTACCATGGAAGAATTCTACAGTGAATATAAAAAAAATCCAAGAATTTCTAAAATATTTCTATCATACAGAAAATTTACTGAATATAAAAATTTACTGGATCGAAGTGGGAAAACCCTGCAAACAAAACTGCGGGAGCACCAAGGGGCCCGAGGGGAGAGCACTGATCCCGTTTTCTTCCCCCCTGCCCTCACCCCAGCACCAGAATCACTCACAGCTGGAATCTGTGCGACCCAAGCCATCACCGCCGAGCTCCTGGCTCTGCAGCCACTGTGCCACGGAGCTGAGTGCGCAGGCGCAGTGCTGACCGCTGCGCTGCGCTCGGCCAAGAGAAAGCTCCCTGTCACACACTGAGGGAGCTCAGCCCCTGGCTCTGCAGACCACAGGCTGCTTGTCTGGCACTCAGCAGAGGCTAGGAGTTTATGCTGGAATGTAGTCTTTAGATAACCACTCTCTTATACTGGTTACTTTAAGTAGAAATCCTCCTAAAATGAACTGTGAGGCTTCCTAGTCTAATTGTAGAGGACAAAACTACAACCTACTTTTTTCAAATTTAACTACCACAATGACCAAATTATCTGACGGTCCCCTAGTATAGTAAGTGTCTCAGGTGCTACACAGCTACCATATCCCTAAAACAACTCTGACTTTTTATTCCTTGTTCCTTGCCTTTTTTTTTTTTCTGTTTACTGCATAATTTCTCTTCTAGTGGAGGCTTAGAAACACGAGGAATACTATTCCATCTGAGCTCTGGTCCTGGAAGAAGGACCAGTACTTTTAGCTACTGGTTAACCTTCAGTGAGACTTAAAAATGGTTGATACAGGGTCTTGCCATGTAAACCAGGCTGGCCTTGACCTCGCAATCCTCCTGCCTTGGCTTCAATTACCAGGACTACAAAAGAGTGCTGGGATTACCAGTGTGCAGCACCAGGCCTCGAGTGGATAAAAACTCAGGTGGTACTGAGATCCAAAGATGGCACCCCTAAATATGTCTTCCTGGCAGAAGGACTTTGAGCCAACGACAACTGAAAAGCAGTAGATGCAGGGACACTCCTGGTCCTTCCCCTGCTTGCCTAAGTGCAGGACAAAGGTTCACAGAGGAAAAGACAGCCTACTGTCTTCCCCTACCAAGGGAGGACACAGAGTAACTCCTAAAGAGCACCTGCACCCTGACTGGCCTGGAGACGGCCACAAGAAGCTGCATTAACCAGCTTTCCTAACTAGCGTTAGCTGCTATTTGTCTATCCCCAATATACTGCTCCTATAGTCTCAAAATTTATTTCCACTGGCTTGTTACAGCTCTAAAAATTTCCTATTCTTTGTTGAAAATGCTACATAAAGTGAAATTCAAAACCACCTCTTTAAGAATTTTTCATTCCCAAGGTATAAATTATCTTCCCTACTCTACGTTGGTAGAACACAACTGCACATTAAAAGAAACTGTATTATGTGGGGGTACACTTCTGTAATCCCAGCTACATGGGAGGTTGAGGCAGAAGGGTTACTGAGTTCAAGACCAGCCTCAGCAATTCATCAAGACACTATTTCCACACTTTAAAAAAAACTTTTTAAAGGGCTGAGGATGTGGTCCTGGGTTCAATCCCTTGTGCCAGGGCATAAAAGAATATATAGAAAATTAAAGTTTTTAATACACTAGTCAAACACAATCACTGACCAATTCTAATATTATGTTCTCTGAAAGTTGACTTGCTTACCTGTTCAATTACAGTTTTCAGCCACCACTGAGGACCCATCAATGTTATAGCTGCAATAATTTTGGCATGCAGGACTCCAAGTGCCCAGTCCTAGGGTAATAAAAACGATTTACCATATTTTTGTTGTTCTTAACCATAATCATGGGCCAGGGATACAGCTCAACGGCACAAGCGCCTGCCTGGCGAGCAAAAGGTCCCGAGTTTGATTCCTGGCACCAAATAAATAAATAAACAAACAAACAAACATAGCAGAGGGGCTGTATAATTTTCTTATATTATGTACATCATTTCTCAATAAAACAGAAACTCTGCAGGATGATTAACAACTTTAGATAAGATTGATATATACTGGATCATAAATAAATAAAATTGACATATACTGGAAAGCCCAAGGAATTTCTTTTTACAACAAGTTTAATATTATCAAAAAACATTCCTGTATCTTTTAGAAGTCTGCCTCATTAACGAAGACCTCAATATGCAAATAAAATAAATGCTCTGATTTTATTTCATCAAACCATTCTTAGGCTGCTTAATTGGTTCTGACTGAGCTGATTTACGTCAAGACAATTGTGGAGCAAGGATTTGCCTAAATGAGCTAACTGGAGGCCCCCGGGAGCTCGGGCTGGAAGCCTTTGTGCTGTCCTCCTGCTAAGCACTTCCCCCAGCCTCTGTGCTGAACATTCCCAGTACCCCCATACCCAGCTCTTCCAGGCGGCCTTGGCCCTGGCCTGCCAGCTCCCCCACACCAGCTCCCAGGGATACCCACCGCCCACTCCACCAGCTCATCTCTAAATGCAAATCAGACCCAAGAAGACGACTTTCCCTGCTTATAACCTTAAAAGTCCTCAGCACACGCACAGCACTTCAGAACCTGACCTGTTTAATCCTTTAGAAATATTACATGTGTATCCAAAATTACACATGTAACACTGCGATCTATTCTCATATAAAACCAAAACGTTTACAGAGAAGGTGGCGTCTTCTGCCACTGCTGTCTCGCGTTCTTACTCGTTCCAGCAACAGCATTTGGCACACACCCCCACACTTCCCCCAGGCTCTGTCTCCATGTACACGTGTACGTCCCACAGAAAACATGCGTCATTTTTTTAATAGATTCTGCTCATAATGTTTCCTTTCCTTGTCCATTAGCTGCAGACCACTGCTGCAACTTACTGGTTTGACTTAACAGTCTTCCTCAAATGGGGTGGAAGGCTGATGTACGGATACAGGCAGGGAATCCTTGTGCATCTCAAACAGCAGCGCTCATCCTGCCAGGTGAGTGGGTGACATTCTACCTAGGTACAGAAAGCTCGTTTTTGTCCCCTTTATCTCAACTATCTATATAAATTCTCTTCTATCTCAGAGCTGTCAGTGCTGTGGGGAGAAAGTCTGACGGCAGCATGCTCTTTTGAAGCTCATGAGACTTCTCTAGAAACCTTACCAAGATACACCCAAGCACGTGTTTTTCACTTCAGTCTCAATCTCACCAAGTTCGGTGGACCTTCTCAACCTACACGGTAAGATCTTTCTTCAATGCAGCTGTTTTTCTCCTGGTTTTTCAATACTGCTTCATACTTTTCTCTTCCAGGACCCTCTTATTGGCAGATTAGAATTCCTGGATATACCTTCACTCCAGTGAGACACTTTTCCAAGACACTCAGCTTCCCCTCAAGCTTTTCTTCTTCAGTTTTGTTCTGCACTCTGCACTGAGCTTCCAGACCTCCACCTGGGCCTCCTTGCAAAGTGTTCTCGTCCTTATTCTCCCACTGCTTCTTGGAACCCATGCCGTGCGGCTCCACGACGTGCTCTGCTGTGTGAGAGCACGCACACACTGGCCTCAGCTGCCCAAGGGATTCTCTCCTAGCAGCTCGGAGCTCTTCAAGTTGCTCTGTTACTACCAAGGCATGTGCTCTCTTTGCTCTGCCTCATCTATTTTTCCGTGGCTACTCAGCTGCTCTTTGTCAAAGCATTTGTCATCTTCCTCCGTAACCTGTAAGAGGCTCAAGGTCTGATTAAGACTATTAGTCTTTCATTTCTTCAGACCTTCAGGATAGCAAGCCAAAGAGCTCTATCCTGAGAACTATGGAAAAAGCTGCTTTTTCTGGACCCTCTTTTCAGCTCACAGGTAGGGAAGACTATACACCAATTCAGCTTTCTCCTGGCTTTCGGGGAGTCCAAACAGCCCCAAGAAAGGTTAATGTCCACCCAGAGCTGGGTGTAGCGGCACGTGCCTGTAATCCCAGCACCCAGGGGGAGGCTGAGGCAGGAGGATCGGATCGTTGTGAGTTCAAGCTAGCCTGGGCTACAAAGTGAGATTAAGGCCAGCCTGAGCTGCATAGCAAGACCCTGTCTCAAAAAAGACAAAAAAAAAAAAAAAAAAAGCAAAATAGGGTAAAGTACACTAGTTTTTCTGCTAGAAGCCCGAAAGCCTAACTGTCCACAGACCTGCAGCTACCTGCTGCACAAAAGGCAAGCAGTTCAGGGTCAGGAATGGAGAAAGTGCTCCTCTTTCCAAAATTTCATGGTGTCACACAGAATATTAAGTATACTGTTACCCAGGCAGGTGGCACATGCCTCAGCACTCCTCAGCACTTGGGAGGCTGAGTCAGGAGGATCACTGTGAGTACAAGACCAGCCTGGGCTACAAAGTGAACTCAAGGCCAGCCTGAACTGCATAGTGAGACCCTATCTCAAAAAGACAAAAAAATTAAAAAATAAAAAAGCATACCATGTTGCATGAAGCCACCATACCTAGCGCTCTTCCCCTCCTCATGAACACGTTTAAGAGTCATCCATTTAGAACAACTCTACAGCCGGTTGTGGTGGCACACGCCTGTAATCCCAGCACTTAGGAGGCTAAAGCAGGAGGATCACTGTGAGTTCAAGGCCAGCCTGCACTACATAGTGGGACCCTGTCTCAAAACAAAACAAAAAAAAACAACCAGGGCTGGGGATATAGCTCAGCGGCACAGCACCTGCCTGGCAAGTACAAGATCCCAAGTTCAGTTTTCCAGGTACCTAAAAAAAACCCCAAAAACTACCATCACCACCACCACCAACAAAAACCCCAAACCCCACACCACCCGTCGACTACTCTGCTGAATTCCAGGGGAAGCTGCGCGGCGTCTTATTCAGACATTCTTTATGGGTGGGTCCAAGCTGCTTCTCACTTTCCTGTCCTCATCAAGGGTGATGTCTGAGCAGAAGCAGCTTACTTATGCACCCTGCACGCACACAGATGTCCCTTTGCAGTGGAATCTGAAAGTCAAATTGCTGGGTCAAAGCATACAAGCATTTTAAAAATGTAATGATGCCGAAGACTTCTCCAGGGTAATGATGACTTCCTAGGTCATCTTATGTAGGATCAAGACCACCAAAAACACATGTGACTGACCGAGCTGCCTTTGTTACTCCGCAGAGCAAGGAAGAACACACATGCACAGGGAATCTGCCCTCATACAGGGTTAGGAAGAGCTTCTCATAAGGTTTCAGTGTGTGTTAATAATTTAGGGGCGGATTTAAGGAAGGAGGACTTTGTTCTGTGTCAGACTCTATTAGAAAGCAGAATAATCTATAACTGATTATGTAACAGAACATATAGAAAAAGGTAAAACCGCACGGTAATGAAGCAGCAGCCTATCGTGGTGGGGAAAGGCGGGTGTTTACCATTCGTGGTTTTGTTAAGGCTCATGTTCTGTCCAGACCTGACTGCAGGGGGTGGTCTCGTTTTTGTCTTGTTTGGTCTTCCTCTAGTGCAGAGCCTTCTGCGGCACTGAGGTTCAGTGAGAACACTTGTATCCAGCAGGACTTCCTGACCTGGCTGACGGGGCAGGACTGCTCCTCAGTGCGAGCGGCCCTGCCCTCTGTCTGTGCCACTCCCCGTCTAACCTAAGGAGGCGCACGATACTTTCACCTCGCCTGGAATGCTGTGGTTGACCACTGTGCTAGCTAGCGCAGGAGCTGCCCGGCCCCTCCACTGTGAAGCTGTGGTTCCCTTTGAAAGTGATGTTACTTGATAAAGGAGCACTTTGCCACCAGGAAAATAACCACTTCTCTTTCATACTAGTGACAAAATATGCCTCCGAACTCATCACCAGTCAGGTAGCAGGGGCTGAACATTCCTTTCCCTGGAATCTGGGAAGCTCTGAGACTTGCTTTTACCCAGCAGGACAGAGGAAAATGTGATGTGCAGGCTCCTGGGGTGAGGTCATGAAAGACCATGCAAGTCCTACCTTGTCTGTGGGGACGCTCATCTCCCCAAACTGTAGTTTAAGCAGCCCAACCTCTGGAGACTCCAGGAGATGTGAAGGGGCACACCTAGGGCCTCCAGCCACGGCCCTCAGTGGGTGCCACGCAGCGAACATCACCCCTTAAGGAGGCAGGCCATCGAATGACTCCAGCCACAGCTGCTAAATCACTCCCAGTCAGAGAACTTTCCAGGGAAGGCCCCAGATACACACGAGAGACAAACTAATGAACCTTCTCTTAATTTCTAACCCACAGACTCTGGGGACAAAATAAAATATAAATGGCTATTCTAAGCCATTACATGGGTAACTTGTTAAATAGCAACAGTTAGCCGTGCATGATGGCGCACACCTGTAATCCCAGCACTCGGGAGGCTGAGGCAGGAGGATCTTTGTAAGTTTAAGACCAGCCTGGGCTACAAAGTGAGCTCAAGGCCAGTCTGAACTGCATATCAAGACCCTGTCTCAAAAAGACAAAAAAACAGAAACGAATAGCAACAGTAACTGAAGAAAGACCCACCAAACTTTCACTTCATGGGTTCAAATTCACTGACAGTCCTTGCTGGAATTATTTTTCGAGCGCTACAAAATAGTGGTTTTCTAATTCTGTGAATGTTCTACCTTTATTAATTGGTGTTATTATATCTTGAAAATAGTTTTTAGGGGCTGAGGATTTACCTCAGCGGCACAGCGCCTGCCTGGCAAGCGCAAGGTCGTGAGTTTGATTCCCGGTACCGGAAAAAAACAAACAAAAAAAAAAAACAAAAAAAAAGTTTTTAAAATTACTAATGCTATTTGACTATGCTGCAATACATCACTTACTGAAAGCCCTAAGATGTGCTTAGTTATCTAAGAAGGGAATTTACTTAAACAATTTTACCAGAACAGAACAAAATTAAGGAGTCCTCCTAAATCAATTACTAAAATTCCTTGGAATAATAAGGACTTGTTTCTGGCCCCAAATACTTAACAAAAGAGCATGAGCAACAGGCACGCGTTTACCTGCCACGGATAAAAAAGAGGAGTCTGATCCAAAGGAACTCGCAGGGGAGCAACAATAACCAGCTCAAACAAGAGCCCCAGAAGGAGCGGGACAACCCCAGCCAGCAGCACTGCCACGATCACAGTCTTCATGATCTGTGAGGAAACAGAGGCCACATCATTACAGAGGGTCATCCTGACTCGTAGACGCACTCCTCATTCTTTGTGGTTTATTTTTCCTCTTGGACCTGAGGCCTAACAGTACTACATTATTTTACTGCATTACATCTTTTTGTACTACATGTTTAAGTAAGATTTCTTGAATATGTAACTATGAAAGCTTAAACTATACTGAAAATCTGAAATTTCTATGAACTGTCACTGCAAAATGGATTACAGGGAATGCATTTTACTTCTGTCAAGCAGGCGGCAGTGTTTTCCTTGTAACTCCACTCAGGGTCAGGCTGCTGCTTATAAGAGAAACCACCGATGGGCTGAGACCCTGTACCAAAGGGAGCCTACACCAGGGCTGACCTGCACCTTGAGGTAGACTGGAAAGAAAAGGGCTCCATGCAACCCTAAAGTAATCAATAAACCCAACCAAACTGGCTGCCTTTAAAATTGCCTGGTCCAGCAGAACTTGCTATGATGACCTGTGTATCTGCTTGTCCAGTATTCTGGCCACTTAGCAACAGTGGCTAGTGCATGAGAATGTGCAGCTCTAGAATTCAGACTAAGATGCAAAAGAAAATGAAGCCGATACATTGAGATCGGGTAGTCTTTAACATGCCCTTGGCGTCCAATGACCCTTGTATTTAGGGTGGCCTCAGGAATATACCTCCTTTGTCACAAGTGACCAAAGAGAGCGTACAAGGAGAATACAACACTTGCTTCCTTACGTGGCTACTTGTGATTGTATGGAAGAATATCAAAGGAAAGCTGGAATTAGCTGATTTCTGTATTTTAAATACACTTAAGTATCTCAGGATCTTATGCGTGAAAACAGCAACTGAACCCTTCCACTGATAATTCACAATGAATCTCACCACAATAATGGATTTTACAAACATAACCATTATACATAAAAGGAAACATGAACTATGCTGATTTCACTGTTACACTGTAGACATGTATCAAATTATCCTATGGTATCCCTTTTATCTGTATAATAATTAGAAACTAAAATCCTAAACTTAAACATATTAAAAGGCAGATTTTGTATTTTTCTTTCAGTATTAGTATTAATTGGAAAACTTCAAGTGAAATCAAAGTATAAATTCAGACATAAAGTTAGTGGTGATTATACAAATGAAAAAGAATAAACAATGACCTAAGCACACTTTGCTGAAAACTACTGGCATAACAAGGTAACAGACAGAAGCAAGAAAAAGTTAAAGGAGCGAGTGACCAGAAGAACAGTCACTGCTCCCATCAGATGAGCCAGCACCTACCATGAGAGCCCACTCTTTCACCTTCTGGAAGATCACTCTGCGTCCCTGGGGCATCCACGCCACCAGCACCGTCACAGCCCGGATGGTGAGCCAGCACACATAGAGACCACAAGCAGCTGTGTAGAGCTCATGGATCTTGGCAGTGCCCGTCCAAAATGACATGAGCCAACGGCCAGCGAATACTGCAAACGGAGAGGCGGGTCAGCTGTGCAGCTAGGTAAAGGGAACCGTAACCCTGATGTTCTAAGAGCAGTCTCACATTACCAAAAAACCACTCTAGAGTGTGCAGTGATTTCACTCGCTGTACACAGCCTCCCACAGGAGGTGCTCAGCAGGGACACACGCTCTGGGGATGTGCACTCTGATGTGTCACAACAATTACTTATCCTTTCCAGCCTGCAGAGGCTTGAGGGGACTGGTGCTTGCATTGTTTTGATCAGCAACTGAAATAATTATGCACATAATGGGATCAAGGTAGGAAATGTCTTTTCTATGTGTGCTGTCAACACTTTCACTATTTAGGAAGATTACAACTAATAAAATTTTCCCAAATGGCTCACTCATCAATACAGAAAACTAAAGCTTATTTTAATAGAATGGGTACATTTTAAATCACAATAATCAAAGAATGCCAGAAGAACTGAGAAAAAATTAAGACCATCAAAATGTATTAGAATGTTTGACACAGATTGAGAATTGCCTAAGAAATATTAGAAATAAATTCTACAGTGTATCCACATGATTTCTCAGGCAAGATCATATATATATATATATAATTTAGTAATTTCTTTACCTGACTCTTTCTCAGGAAAGTTAGAACAAGTCAAATTTCTAGTGCACTTTCCCCCTATAAATTGCCTTCCCAATCTGGTGGTGTTGTTTTTGAATATCTACAAAAAGTTGGTGACCGTACTATTTTCCATATATTATCTCATAATCCTCCAAAGCACACCCACTACAGACACATTCTCCATTTTAAAGGTTAAGAAACTTGGCTCAGTTGGATGTGGTGCACACACCTGTAATCCCAGCACTCAGGAGGCTGAGGCAGGAGGACTGCTCTGAGTGCAAGGCCACCCTGGGCTACAAAGTGAATTCAAAGCCAGCCTGACTTGCACAATGAAACCTTGTCTCAAAAAAAAAAGGGGGGACAGAGAGAGAGACAGAGACAGAGGAAGAAAGGCAGGCAGGCAGGCAGGCAGGCAGCAACCAGGGCTCAGTAACAGAACCTTGCCCAAACCAAAGCAGAACACAGCTGAATCTGAAGGCAGGTCTATGTAACAGAAGACACACCCTTAACTATGGAGCCACATCGCTTCCAAATCAAACTCACCCAGCTCATGGTCACGCCTTACAAACCAGAAAGCTGAGGACGAAAGGATTCTTGCAAACTCACAAAACTGAGTGTGAGAAAAACTTTTTTTTCCTTGTACTTGTGGGAACTGGGCTCAGGGACTTAGGCATGCTACACAAGTGCTCTACCACATTTCCAGTCCTTTTTATTTTAGGACTGAGCCTTGCTAAGTTGCCAAGCCTGGCCTTGAACTTGTGATACTCCTGCCTTAGCCTCCTAAGGAGCTAGGATTAGACGCATACAGCACTATGTCCAGCCGACTTCTAAAGCCAAATACAAGGCTGGAGCTCAGTGGGAGAGTGCCTGCCTGACAGGAACAAAGCCCTGGATTTGATCCTTAGCACTGCAAAATATAATACTTAAACAAATAAAAAAATACATGTAAAATGTCACCTGAAAACGCTTACATGCACTTTAATTTGAAGATATCAAAATAATCACTGATAAGGCTGAGAAACATTTAGTGCTCTATATGTATTTCTACTCCAGGGTTTGTGTTGTGTTGGATTTAGGACTCATTATAAAATTTAATAGCCACTTTCCATCCTACATTTCATATATTTTTCATCCAAAACATGGTTTCGTGGGGCTGGGGATTTAGCTCAGCGGCAAAGCGCCTGCCTGGCAAGCGCAAGGTTGTGAGTTCGGTTCCTGGTACCGGAGAAAAACCAAAACCAAAACAAAACAAAACAAAACATGGTTTCGAGAAGATAGACAGAATTCATGTTGAACTTGTAGTAACTATATAATTCATTTACAGCTACAGAAAAGCAACCTAGGGGGAAACAGGACCCTCACCACTCTCATGCTCGCTATCCATCTGCAGTAAGCACTTCTATGATAACAAACTACTCTTTCCATACATGGCAGAGCCAGGTTAAAAGGAAATACTGAGATAACAATGTTAATGAAAAGAAATTATTCTTACAATCAAATTCAAGTATGAAAACTAGAGTTTCTTTTTTTCTGGTACCGGGAACCGAACTCACAACCCTGCGCTTGCCAGGCAGGCACTGTGCCACTGAGCTAAATCCCCAGCCCCCTAGAGTTTCTTCTTTCGTTAAACTTTTAAAAATATTTCGGGCAAAAACATGAAAATGGGACATAAAACCACGAATGTAAAGGTGCCCCAAATTCAAGCACTATGTCTTCTCAGCATATGTTTCACATAACTGCACTCAGTCAAGCACGCTTTGCCATCACTTTTTTTTTGTGGTACCGGGGATCGAACTCATAACCTTGTGTTTGCCAGGAAGGCACTTATGCCATTGAGCTATATCCCCAGCCCGAGCTATATCCCCAGCCCGCTTTGCCATCTTAACAGCTCTGATCTGAGCAGGAGGGAGCTGAACGTAAGGTATTAAAGTCAACCACCACTACGCAGAAACAGAAAAGAAAATATGTTTACAGAAAAGAAACAGAAAATAGGTTAAAAGTAAAATCGGTTCCTTCAAGTTAGAAAAAAATGTTTTGTTTCAAAACTTGAAATTAGTTTTCTTATTTACCCTTTGCCCAGCCTTAGAATTCATGGAGAAAAATTTAATACAAATTTGATTTATAAAATTATACTCAGTGCTATAACCAAGATAACTCACTATCTAGTTAGGTCTGATAGAGCTGAAAATTAACTTACTGATTACTTAAGTAGTTAACGCCTATAAACATGATTCAGAATATTCTAACTGGATATAAACAGTCAGTAAAAGGGGGTAAGCTGTTTTGTGACCTCGTCATTTATCCCTGATCTCTGGAGAAGATCACAAGCTACTACGTCTATTCAGCTGCCGTTGACTTATCTTTTAGATGAAGAAACGCTGTTTAACTGACATGTCCAACAAACTTAATGCCAGAAAAAAAGGAGCATTGTGAGGACATGATAAAGGGAAACAGTCAGGCTTCATTTTGTTCTTGATCAACACTATGAATGGACTGAAAAGCAACAACCTTAACGTTAAGACTGGTTTGAAAAAATTACTTAAGTCATACAAATGACTTTCTGAAAATCCACACGGTAAAATACCTGAGAAAACCCAGTGATCCCAGGTGCTTCTCTTCTAAAAGGAATGTACAGCTATCCTGACCATATCCCCTACGCCCCAACGTAAACGAGTCCAGTAAGATGGAGAGTCCTCATCGGCTTGCAACCCATGTTCAGCTGAGATGAACACCTAAGTACCTCAAGTTTCTATCCATGAAAAGAATCACATCTCTGCAAAATGGGACTTTTCAGAAAACACCTTGGTGTAGTGGCTGCAGACCAGGACGAGCTCCTACCTGGTAAGGTAAGGCAGATGAGGCTGGCGATCAGCAGCGTCACACACATGAGGACGATCAACACCAGAATCTATGAGGCAAACAGAGACAGCTCAGGCACGCGCTGGGCATCTCATGACACCAGCTCCCCAGAGTCTTCATAGCTATTTCACTAAAATGACTGCCTGAATTTGTACTTCCGGGTTTTCTGAACTTCACATCAGAGGGGGAAGTTTTTCAATACTTTTAAAGACAGACAGGGCCCTGCTATGCTGTCCAGTCTGGCCTTGAACTCCAGACTCAAGTTGTTTTTCTCGACCCAGCCTCCCCAGTATCCGGGACTATAGGCCCATAGCACTGAGCAAGCAAAAGAACTTTTCATTTTGGTAAAATTACCTATAATCTAGCCCACAAGTAAAATAAGTGCCCATTTTTATGCATTCAGATACATCTACAAATAAAAAGCAAATACTTTGTTGAAGAGCAGAAAAGTAAAACACACCCTCAAGTTTTCCTTGTTATTAATAAAAACAGAATGTTACAAATTTAAAATATTCGCCTTTTTAGCATACAACAGTGCTTACCCAGTTGGAATACTCTGTGGTAACAGAAATGTCTACACCTACACTGTCTGATACAGTAGCCACTGGTCACATGCAGCTGTTGGGCACTTAACAAGGGGCTGGTGTGAACAGACTTTTGCATTTTACTGAACTGTAATTACACTGAAGTGTATACAGCTGCAGACAGCTAGAACTCATCAATCCTAGCAGCGCCTGTCCAAAATGACATCAACTAACGGCCAGCAAATACTGCAAACAGAAAGGCTGATGAGCTCTGCAGCTAAGGAAAGAGAACAGCACAGCAATCGCACAGACAGAGCAATCACACAGCACCAATCTAACAGCACTGACCGTCATGAGGAACCTGAACACCCACTTCAGTGGAGTCTGCACGGTACCTACCCTGAGTGGGAAGTTCAGAGGCCGGCGGTAAGGCTGGAAGCCCACAGGCCCTCCCTGCTGGAGGATGGCCTGGTGGGCTGCGTGCAGGCCTTCCCCTACCACAGGAATAGCGTTGTTATTTCGAGCATGCTGGTTATTGTTCACTTGTTGATTTGCACTGTTCTCATTTTCCTCCTGGTCTCCCAGTAAATAGGAATGAAGATCCCTGTGCAAAAATTGTGCCAGTGAAAAGTCTCATTTCAGGTCAGAACAAAATGACAGACACGATACTTTATTTTCTTAACACTTACTACGAAGGGCGGTAGATATCCATGTAGAACCTGCACATGGCATTATTACCTCAACCTGGTCTAAATGCTGGGGGCTACTCCAAAGTAACCCTTTCTATAGGGGCCAGGGATCTAGCTCAGTGGCGTAAGAGCCTGCCTGGCAAGCACAAGGTCCTGAGTTCAATCCCCAGTACCCCCAAAAAAGCTTAATATGCAGCAAATCTTAGTAAGAAGGTAAAAATATGCATAAAGTTTTCATAAAAGGATGGACAATGATAAAGTAAAAGAAATTTTATATTTTTAAAAGTGAGAATTATATAAACTTGAATATATTACTAAATGATCACTGACTGAAACCGACTTTTCATGAGTGAAGCATGTGACACACTTTGTCCAGAAAGGCTCCGAAGGGACAGCAACGGCACACATGCTCAGGGAGCAGGCCGCCCACACTCACAGCAAGTAGCCAGCAGTGACAGTCCACGCGCGCACAAGCCCCTTCAGCCACTGCCTTGTGTGTCCCTGCTCCAGCAGCGCTGGCAAGACGACCTGCAGCAGAAGCAGCTCGAGGGACAGTTCACTCACTGGAGCGTCACTGGGATGATGACAAAGGGCCATGATTGAAAATGAGAATTCTATTTTGCATTATACTTATGTTAAATATTTCACAGAATTAAAACGAAGAGTGAGATGCACTCACTGTCTCGGTACCCCTCCCACTCGCTCTCAGAGCCCGCGAAGGCTTCTTCCTGAACTCCACTGAACGCTCCCGGGGCCCTCACCCCGCTAAGCCATGAAGTGCGGCGCGCTGTGCAATGCCAGCAAGGCGCACACCGCAACTCTCCCTCCTCCCTGGACAGCTTCCAGGCCCTTGTCCTCCTCCACCTCCTCAGCCTGGAAACAGCCCGTTCTCCGCTCTTCTCCCCGGGGCTCACTCGCTGGGAAGGCAGCTCAATACGGTGCTTGCTCAGCACACATGAACCCCGAGTTCAATCCCCAGCACCGCCAAAAAAAAGGACTTAAAAGAAGTAAATTTGAGGAAGCAATTCAATCTGCCTGCATTTTGGAATAATGACTGAAATAACGCAAATCACTAAAAAAGAGAACACGGGAAGAATAGCTGAGATTAGGTTTCCAAATAACTGAAAATTTTAAACCAAAAAGATTTCCACCTGTAAGCCTTGTAGTCTAATTTTAATCCATAATTAAATATACACCTTCGGCTTCATTCCTTACGATGTGCTTTTAAAAATAAAGATGATACTACTAACACATTCTTAGAAGAAATGGCAAAGCATTTCAATGTGAACAAATGCATTACTTTACAGAAAAATAGACTTCCTTTGGAAAATGTACTAAGTTTATGTGATCTAGAGCATGATAAAATGTTAACTGTCAGATGATTCTAAGAGCTGCAGAAGTGAATGTTTTAAATGTCTAACGTAAGATGAACATCAACTTCCCAGCAGTGATCAACTATCAGGCTAAACCTTAGAGCTTACCTATAGAGCATGACATTGTAAGGAAGAAAATGCGGCAGCAGACTCTTGATTATCCGTATCGGGAGCCAAAGCATCAGAAGGACAATGGAGCCAAAGACAATCTGCAGTGAGAAGCCAGAGACAGCACCACTGTGAGGCCATCACCCCCGTGGAGAGAGTGGACCTCTGACCATACTCAGCCCGCTCTCAGCCCAGGCCCATGCCCACCCACAGCCCGAGTGGCCTCACCCTGCACACCATCCTGGGGTCGCTCTGTAAACTCATATCCCTGAGACGGCTGCTCCTCGACCAAAAAGATCTCCCTCCTCTCTAGATCATGAGAGCTAAAACAGGAGCCACAAAGCATAAGCCCTGGACAGTGTGTGAGAGAAGAGCTAAGAACTTACCATGCAGGAGCAGAGTCGCCTACAACTAAGTAAGTCTCCTGGAGCCATGAAGACATTACCAGGTTAATGTCTATACAGTTACCAAAGTTACGATTTACCAAGAATCCTAAAGGCAGATACACTACTGAATTTAGGATTTTATTTTGGAAAAACTTGGATTCAACCACACTACTTCTTTCTCCAATAGGGAAGAAATTTTGAGATGTTTTCAGAGTTTAATTTAAAAGCCAGTTAACAAATCTCAAAACAATGGAAAGATCTGCTTACCACTGATAAAATAAATCTCCGGAGATGCCTATAAATGGGCAAGTGGATCATTTCCTGCACTGGGTTGAAATCTGGATCATTCAAATTCCTTAGAAACCACAAGACACCAGGTCGAAGTACCTGCAAATATGTTTTTAAAAATAAGTCGTAAATACTCACCAGTGTCTTCAGGCTCTGTATATAAGCTCAAACAACAGAAAAATAGGCTCCTGAAAAAGTATTCTGCCATCTCAAATAGGTCCCAGAAAATTCATGTGGCTGTCATGGAAAAAGAAATTCCAAACCACAACCTTTATAAAGACTATCCTGGTTTTGTCTGATCCTTTTAATCATTCAATGGTAAAAGCACTCACTTAGTCCAACTGGTCAAAAAACCTAGATCTGAGATGAAAATTAAATAAAATCAGTACTCCATACTATATTGTATCCCCTGGTGAAAGGGTAATGTTGCAAACTTATACATGTCCTAAAAGCAAAATCTGGCCTCAGTTTCACACTCCCCTAGAGGAGTCACCTTACTCAAGAAGCTGTGCAGCCTTGCAGTATCTTCATTTTGCTACCCGTATCTCTGGGTGAGGGGTAATGGGCGAGTCGCACACTAGTGCTCCCAGGCCCACACCCTAGGAGTCACCCTGTACAGAGCACCTGACCTGCCCAGACCTCCACTTCTCCATCTCCCAAACAAGGCAGTTACAGTGTATGGTGTCTAAGGCTCTACCTCCCCAAGTGAGGGTTCTGTACCCCAAAAACCAGCCACAGTAATAAAATTAAAGATTGCAAAACATTTTAGAGTTCACATATTACAGTTTTTAAAAACCCACCACTGGATTTGCTTAATCTCAAATCATTTATTTCGAAGACAGAATGTGAGCTTATCCTGTGTGATTCAGAAAGTTGCGGCCCCACTTCTTTCTCTCCTCCAGTCTTTCAAAGAGCAAAGCACACTGAGAACAGCACTGAGCCTCCGGCTCTGCGCCCATTCCTCGGGTCTGCTGGCCTGCTCCCCCAGCCCTCACAGGTGTGTCCCGTTGATGGCTTTTTCATATGGCTTTTTCACAGGTCTTGTGCCTTTGTTCCTACTACCAGCAATCCGGCACAGTCTGCCACAGAGTCTGCGAGACCTTCTTATTAATTAAATACACTCTGCTTCATTTTCAAGTCAATAAAGGCCAGGCTGTCAATAAGGGCCAGGCTGTCAATAAGGGCCAGGGTTAGTAAAGGTTCCTCTCTGGCAAATGAACGGGAACCATGAAGACCCTCACTATAATTCTGCACTTGAGAGTCCTCCCTCAAAACTGTCTTCCACACTCAGTTCTCCAAAACTGTATCTCTTGGGGTTATCTCCAGTATTACATTTCTTTTTTTCTTTTTTGGTACCAAGAATCAACCTCAGGACCTTACACTTGCCAGGCAGACACTGCCGCTATACCCCTGGCCCTACAAATTTCCTTGAATGAAGTTTGAAACGGAGTCATATCACACAAAACTCCAAGAGTTTATTTTATTTTTTGTCTTTTTGAGACAGGGTCTTACTATGCAGTTCAGGCTGGCTTTGAGCTCACACCGTAGCCCAGGCTGGTCTCACACTCGCAACAATCCTCCTGCCTCAGCCTCCCAAGTGCTGGGATTACAGGTGTGAGCCACCACGCCCAGCCCAAGAGTTTATTTTAGAAGATGGGAATGAGACATACCAAATAAAGCAAGTACTCATACTTTCTTTCTCAGAGTAATCATATTTAAAACTTTTAACTTGGTGATTTTTGACACAAACAAGTAAAAACAGATTAAAATAATCCAAATTCTTCTCAGTTACTCCTCCTCAGAACAGTAAAGAGTATAGTTTAATTAGGAAATCATCCCAGCCTCTGAGGCATGATCAAAGAAAAGTCCTTTTCAAAAATGCACAACATCAGTATTTCCCCTCAGGACTTACCTCTCTGAGCAGCAGAATGAAGGAGGCAAAGTAGAACACATACACCATCCCCACCAGCCAGTGCAGAAACATGGTCGTGCCCGGAGCTGACTGAAAGCTCAGTTCTCGATCTTTCAGAGTAGCATCAAACATTTCCTAGGCCAAAACACGTCAGGTGAGAAAGATCTGCACCAACTGCATTTATTTGCCACATGAACAACTCCACCTCCTAAGAAGTGCATGAATCATTACATACACAAGGTATGATGTTCTAGGACCACAATTCTCTCAATGCTGTTTCAGTGTTACAGAATTGCATGATGTAAGACCAGATACTATTTCAAAAAGGTGTATTATACTTTAAATTTTTCAAACGAATGACAAACCAATTGGGGAATAAAAACTTTACAAATACTATTTTATAATAAAAGGACCATTTTGATTAAAGACCTTACTTTGTTAATTAGGAAAATGAATGTTCAACTTACCAGGGAACAGATATCCAACCACCAGCCACAAATGAGAGGGAATACTCCAATTTCCACCACCACCAGCAAAGAGACCTTAGGTAAAAATAAAGATCATCAGTATCACCCCAATGTAGGAGACACTGTTTCTAGTTTTAATTTATAATACGAATTACCTTAACAACAATATAGCAGACTCCCAGTAAGCGACGAGACCTATGAAATTTAACAAGAGTTGCCAGGCCCTACAGCATCTAGTTGAGGAAAAAGTGAACATTTGACACTGTGGCGAAGAGGTAACTATGTAGATTATACTTCCTGGACAGACTTATTTCACATTTTGTCTACATTCAGCCTTAGGAAAACAAGGAAAGGGAAAATCACTTAAGTTATTAGTAAGAACCACACTATGGGATGAATATTATGGTATACCCAAGAGGACTCATCAAAGGATACATGACAAATTATCAGTGTTATTGCTAGAAGTATATACCCAACTATGGTTGTGATGAGGCCTTCAAAATGAGATGCTTGGACCTAAAAAATAAAACATAATAAAAATTACATGGCATATACCCTAGTTTTATGACTGTGCTAACCAACCCAAATGACTAAACTTGAACTATCCAGGCAATACAAAACTAGCTAATATGAAACTAGATGACACCTCTGCAAGCTGGACTCTCCCATATACAGACTACATTAATCAGTCAGGGTTGAAGAAAAATTACAGAACAACACTTTCCCTAAGGAACCAAAGTAACAGTAGAGTGAATGAAATCTGACAATAGGAGCACTATAACCCACAGTCTGCCTGCTAATCTTGCTGTAAGGTAGAGTGCTCCAGCTTCCCTCCCACCCACCCGGTACCATGCGAACTACCTCATTCCTCCCATGAGAAGTACCTACATAAGTTACCCCTGCACTCCAAATCACTGCCACTGACTTACAGAGAAGAACTTGGAAAAGACAAATACTGCCACCTGTATCTTTTTTGGTTCCTGAGTTTCAGATAGCAAGTGGCAATTATTTATCCAAGTGTTTATGTGAACCTTTCAAGTTCTAGCTTGCAACTATCAAGAGTCAAAGGGCTTTGTTAATAGTAGAATGTTTCTGAATATGTTTTTAGGATTCATATAAACAAAGTGAAAAGAAGGGAAGGCAGCTCCTCCTGAAAAGACTAAGTCCTTCTAAAGCCCCCACAAAGGAATAGCAATACATATAAATATCTGCGTCTAGAACACAGTGATAAAATGTCAACACTTAAGCAAATTATTTTAAGAACATGTAGCTTATTATTCCAAGATAGTCTATTCCTTTTTTAAAAAAACATCAATATATTGTTCCATTTCTAAATTCACTAAGGGTCATCTGGAGAAAGGGAGAGAAGGGAACACACAAGTTTGCAAAGCGAGTGGGAAATCAGCCTGTGGGAAACTCCTTCAGGCTGCCTCAGGCCAGCCCCGTGGGAAGAGCGCTTTATGGACTTCACAGCACCTTTGTCAGCTGGCAATATGACCTCCTATTTCGCTTTAGCAAGGGTGAACTTCAGAAGAAAAGAACAAGACCACACTGTTAACTGTTCCTTTGTAGAAAGCAGACTGAGAAATGGAGTAACTCTGAATATTAGACTTGCTCAGAAAATACCAACTTTGAGAGTAATTAGTGAAAGTAAGTTTGTAAAAGTATTATACTCACATGTTCTTCAAATCCCAAACCAACGAGGGAGAAATGACCAATGTGGTAAGGGCAAAATGCTAAAAGGGAGGCAAAAAAAAAAAATCAATGAACAGTGAAACATCAAAGCACTGAACACCCCTCATACAACCTCCCACTAAAAGGAACCAGGGCCTCTTTAAAAAAGGAAGATTCCGGAACTGGGCCAAAAATGTGCTGTACCTGGGACATTTTCTCTAACCTCAGAACAATAAAGTTATTGGGGTATAAAAATCTATGCCAAAAGGATGCGAACACAGTATCACAGGCCTCTCTAAGAGAGGATGACACGAGGGCTGGGGAACGTAGCTGTGGCAGAGCACTTGCCTAGCAGGCACACAGCCCTACGCTGGATTCTGAAATGAGCCAGAAAGGCGGGGTTGAGCATCAAAAGACACTAATAATGCAAACTGTAGAAACACATCAAACATACAAACCCATGAGCTCTTAATGCTCAAAAGCAGAAAGCCCAAAACAACCAGCAAAGAAAAACAGCAACATTATACAAAACATTTTTATATTTTAGAAGTAGTTAGCACAGCAATGGAATGCATCCATTTCTTACCCTGAAACTGACAAACTAGAAAACACTGGGCATCTATCTGGCTTCTCGTGAGCAACCAAGTTCAGGTTAAAAGAACAGCCCTCATTGATAAGAATAAATCTTTAAAGAAAAGCCAGCCAGCTGGGTGTAATCCCAGCACTCAGGAGGCTGAGGCAGGATCATTGCGAGTTCGAGACCAGCCTGGGCTACAAAGTGAGCTCAAGGCCAGCCTAAACTGCAGAGTGAGGCCCTGTCTCAAAAAAGACCAAAAAAAAAAAAAAAAAAAAAAAAGAAAAGCCAGCCAATAAACATAAAACATGACAGAATGTACAATCATAATTTCCCAACACCTACTAAGTGCTTCAGGCAAGGATCACTGAGGGCTAATAAAGTCATTAGTGAAAGAACGGTGGCCACTGTACATTTGCATGCTACTAAAATAGCACCCATAGGTTACTTCCTCATGATACAAGGAGAAGGAAACCTAGGAAGAAAGGTTGAGGCTGGTCCACTGATAAAAAAGGATGCACCAACATCACACACTTCTCTTTTGTCACAGTAGTATCAAAATGTGAACAGTGAAGAATATGTCATGAATAAACTGAACTTGGGATCTAACTGAGCCCCTAAATATGATGACCTTCAGAGACGAAGAGGACGGCAGACAACCAGGAAGCAGCTGGGTAGACCTACCACTACGACATAGTGTACAGGGCAGATGACCTGAACTCATCAACTCATTAATGCAAAATGGGTGGGGCACAGGGGCAAGTGAAGAGTATTCCCAATTAAAACAAACTTAAGACTTAGCTTAAAAATAATGTGTATTGGGCCAGGGACATAGCTCACTGGCAAAAGCGACTGCCTGACAAGCACAAGGTCCTGAGTTCAATTCCCAGTACCAAAAAAAAAAAAAAAAGTGTGGACTGAATAAACAAATGATGATGATGATGATGATGATGATGTGTGGACCTGGTTTGGATCTTCACCCAAACCAACCATCTATAAAACGCCATATAAAGGGAAAACTTAGGAATTTAAAATATAATTCTAATTTAAATAAATTCTGATCATCTTGTAAGATGTAAAAATGGCTCTATAATCAAGAAAATTTTTTTAAATCCCATTAAATTTTTCACAATAAGAATTTTTTATATTCTTTTCCTCAAGCCTTTCTTGCCAAGTTTTACTTTGTTCTTAATAGAATTTAATTAATTTTTTATAGTAAAAGTAATTCATTAATTTAAATAGCAAATTATTAGGGAAGGAGGTGACTCAACTATTAAGACAAAAACCACAGTGAATCCACTAGGAACTGGCCCACAAGCCTGCGCTGCATATTTCTTAATATTCCTGACTTACGAATAGAACAAAAGCCTAAAACCAGACCCCTAAAAAGCTGAACTTCTAGCATAACACCATAAAAAATAAAACCAAAAAAACACTTACCAAAAACAAGAATGAACAGTGTATTTAAAGACACTACCCAGAAGACATGTTCCTAAAGGAAAAGATTATTAATAAAACATATCTCATATTCAACATGTTGTATTTGACTACTCAATTTATTTAGCTATAGCTTAGGTATTAAAAATAGCTAAAACTGAAATTTTCTCTCTATGAGCAACCTACCTGGGACCCTTCCTAGAAGCTATTCCTATTTCTCTTCCTTTTCTCTGACAAATTTTCCTTCTCTTAACCTGTTATTCCTTAGAACTCATTCTTCAACTCTGGGGAACACGACCTCTGTGTATCTGACATTTAGCAGGTTGGGGGTTATTTTTCCCCTATATCACCTTCGAAGTTCTACCAAGATCTTTGGAAGGAGGTATGAGTTTGCTTTTCTTTTATGACACCCTTAAATATTTCAATTGGATTCTGGATTGTGACTCATTTAAGGTAACTGAAATTGTCATCTTCTTGTTTGTCAGTTGCTTATATGTTACCTTTTTCTTAAAATGGTGATAAAGTTGAGAACGTGGGGAAGTTATGTTCTTCTGTTTCTTTGATGGGATATTTTATTTTTCCACGCAGGGTCTTGTTTTTATTTAGACTTACTAGTTGCTGAATTTACTTGTATTCCTTGCTTGACTTGTTTGATGGTTACAAGATGGCTTGTCTATGCCGGGTGTGGTGGTGCATGCTTTGTCATCCCAGCACTCGGGAGGCAGAGGCAAAAGGATCACTGCGAGTTCGAAACCAGCCTGGGCTACAAAGTAAGCTCAAGACCAGCCTGAACTGCATAGCGAGACCTTATCTCAAAAAGAGAAAAACAAAAAACAAAAAAACAAAACAAAACAAAACAAAAACAAGATGGCTTGTCTTATTTTAGAAAGTGGTGCTGGGGATAGGCAATGCTAGTGGACTTTGATACTAACTAAAAATGTGAATTTGTGAAATGAATTTATCTAGGAAATATACATGCACACAATCTTTATCTGTACCTTACAGAACTCTAAGAAACAGTGGCTACTCTGCCAGCTAATGAACTGCTCTCAGAGCAGCTGCCACTCTCAAAGCAGAGGACAGGTTTCCCTTGCACCTTCAGGTCAGTCCCCACTGAAGAGCAACTGAGAGGCCATAGCTGGGGCGACTTCCCAGTGGCAGCTGTGTCTCCATAGCCTGACTAGGTAACTAGCAGAGAAATCTCCACTCACCTATCGATCCCACCTGTACTCCTCAGTGAGGTGAGAGGTAAAAATCTCTTGGTGATCTCCTGGTGTCCTCTGTCCCTCAGTGACCTGAGATGACACTGTCAGAGCCCTCTTGTAAACCTCAATGGAGCGTTGTGCTCCAGGACTTGACTTCTCTCTCTCTGCCAGCAGGACAGACCCCCGCTTCAGGTATGTATTGATATGGGCATGCGGCCAGAAACCAGTGAAAACAATCGCCCTCTAGATCCCAAGGGAGATTTGCTAGCACGGAAGTCTAAGTTAAGAGAGAATTCCCCCACCCACCCCCGATATTTTCTTTTCACTCCAGCTTCCTGGGAGTTAGCTTTGAAACTCCTTAGCTCACTGACCACCTTCTAAACAAAAGCCTACACAAACTGTCTGCCTTTAACGTGGGAGAACAGCTATTAGAGATTTGTGCCTGTGCCTTACACGTGCTAAGTAAGGGTGGAGAAAAGTTTTAGTGAGCCTTCCTCTTCTGTCATGTACGTGTGACGAGGAAAAGCCAGTAAAAAGGGATTACTAACATGTAATTTGTGATTGCTAGACAATGGGTAGACCGCACTTCGAGTTTAATCCCTTTAGGTTATTCCAGATACTGGAGATACGTATTTTCAGAGTGGGTTTAAGTAGAGCCTCGCCAGTACTGCTACGGAGGGAAACTGCCTAGGGGACTAGACAGCGAACCCAAAATGTCCCTGAGTCTCTCCATAATTTTGAGATTTCAATCTAGAAATGACATACTTTTCATTTTACATCAGATGGCTCACACCAAGACTAATAAAGGTTTAAAGTGTTACATGCAGAAGAAATAAAGAAGTCAGTTTATAAACATTTACTTTTGTAGAAATAACATCAGCACCTGTACAGGTTTCCATGAAGTCAAATGACACTGCAAGACTCCAGTGGAGTGGAGCGAAGGTGGTGCGAACACCACCCTTGTGCAGCTCATAGTGCTGCTGTGTGTGCACGCTGCTCTCACGGCACCAGCAAGGTCACCGCTGCTCAGCCTTCTCCCTCTGGGAAACTAGCTGGGTGTCTTCTGGTCCCAACCCTGCCTTTGTGACACCCTGGCTTGCTCGTTTTCTCTTTCTCTCTCTCTTTCTTTTTTTCTTCTTGAGATAGGGTCTTGCTAGGCAGTCCAGGCTGGCCTTGAACTCACCCTGTAGCCTAAGCTGGCCTCAAACTCACGGTGATCTTCCTGCCTCAGCCTCCCAAGTGCTGGGATTATAGGTGTGCGCCATGATGCCTGACTTGCCCTGGCTTTCTTTACTCCTGTCTCAGAAATGCATCCTCACCGGCCATGTGATCCACTCCCAGGCATGTCACACAGCCTCCAGGCCACATCACTACAATTCCTAGGCCCATCAAACCAAACCATCGAGTTGCATGACCCTTTCACAGGGGTCCACATGGTCACACTTATTTTTAGGAAGATTACTCTGTTCAAGTACCCTAGTCTTCCACAAATCCCACTGGCAGAAAGGATGCTAAGTTCGCCTTAAGAAAAAAAAAAATGACTACTTAACACAGCGCCTCAATTCTTTTCAGCTGTTTTGCCTTAAAAGCTCCCAAACGCCCCCATCTCCAAGACCTTCTATGCCTCAACCTCTACGTTACCTATGCCTCAATGTCTACCTTATCTTATCTATGTTGTCTTCTCTTCAAATGTCTTGCTGACAAACTCCACTGAAAGACCTGACCCAAGCCTCGTATGTGTTCCTTGAGTCCTAGGCACAAGTCACTGAGTCTTTAACACACACCTCTCAACTTCCTGGTTCACATTTTCATTTCTCTCTACAAAATTAAAAAGGATCTTTGAGAACAGGACCCTGTTTCATTCACTCTCAACCAAATAGCTAACACTAGGTTATATATTAAGTATGAAGGAATGAAGTCATCCTGCAAATGATCTTTGCAATTTGAATAAATTTTGGCCAACACCACTGCCTCAACAACTTCTGTAATTCATTTATGAGAGACACAAATCCCTTGGATTTACAAACCTCATCAGTCTCTCACAAACATGAGACAAAGGGATTTAAATAAGTATGTCACCTAATAATACCTTTTCTTCTGACTGTGATCAAACCTTAACTAGAAACTCAATGATACCACATTCCCACTGAACTCTGAACGACACCAGACACATTCCACAAAGTCCTCAAATAGCTAACTTCAACATGCTCTCAGGCTCCCACAGTCAGCCCAGGAAGAGTCCAGTACTGTGGACAGTGGCGACGGATGGAAATTATTTGCATGTGTGTTGGACCTCCAGATCACCCCTGAACTCGTCCTTCCACTGGGCTTCCTGTTACACTAGTGCTTCGGTCAGTGGGAGTTCTGTACTTGTAGCTATCTCTAAATTCTTTTAAAAGCCTGAATAGCAAGAATTCTGTATTACACAGCCTTTTCTCCTTTAAAGAAAATGTTCTTAAAGTTGTGATCTTTATTAATAAGGCACAGTTCCTGGGTCAAGATGGGTGGGACAGTACAGAAATCTAAGATCAGACTGTGGCTCTTACTGTAAAATGTACAAAGCTGCCCTGCTTACACTGCTACAGCTTTTAACACTGCAAGACTGAACTTAAAAGATCAAGTTATTTTAACTACCATTAACTTTGGGTTTCATTTTCTTTAAAAAAAATCAAACTGTTTAGAATAAGTTCCTTTTAAAATATTTTTCCAATATTTCCAACACAATTTCCTTCATATATGGAGTAATCAAAAGCAAGGGTATTTTGACCTTCAGTATAAAAAGGAAACACTGTAAATATGACATTACTGAGTAACTAAGACGACTACTTCCCAGCTGTTATTAAAAATTACCCCTGCCGGGGTGTCTATACAGGTTGTGCTTCCAGCCCTTTCATTTCTGCCCCTCCCCCAGGACAAGTCCTCACTCTGGCCCCCAACACTGCCAATGGGGGTAGCTGGGAATAGGATTCAGGGCCTGGGCAGTCTTGGTTCCCTGCTCTACTACAGAACTTCCAAGAGCAGTCATTTCGGGTCACAGCAAGGCAGAGCTAGGTGTCATCCATCGTTGTTGCCTATTCGTGGTGCCTGATTCCCTGACTCAAGTTTTTCAGACTCTGAGCTTCAGCTGCAATGCCAGGAGCGCGGCCAAGACCCTCTAGGCTTGACAGAGGCACTGCTGCATCTCGGGTGCAGGAGCTTGCAGGCGAGTGGGATAATGGTTTGGGGCACATTTTAGCAGTCATGGTCCTCACCCACTTCATACTAGCAGTGACCCCCTGGGGGACAACGGCCCCATGTCCCCTGTGTACTCCTTCCACACGCTCCAGGAGGGGGACTGCTGCGGGGTACGAGTGTGGGCTGCCCCGGTGATCTCGCTGATTTCCATGGCATCAATAATACCCCAGCACGGCCATGTCCAGGATGGCTGTGTGGAAAAACTTCACAAATTCCTAGAATTTAATAACTGGTGCTGTGCTTACTAGCTGGTGGGGGCTGGTAAAGTATATTACCCGTGCTTTACTATACTCTCTAAATGTTAACTAAAAAGGTATGCTGAATTGAAAATAATTAGTTTTACTTACAAGAAAAACTAGTGATCCATCAAGTCCTAACATCTAAAAATAAAAAACAAGAGGCATTAGTACAAGATGCAACTTGATTTTCTACTCTTACAATAAAGGCTTATTTTCCTTTCCGTATCTTGTTTTATCTTTGGTGCTGGGAATTCAACACAAGGTCTTGCGCATGCTAGGCAAGCATTCTACCACTGAGCTACATGCACCCTCAGCCCATCGTGTTGGTATCTTTAACCACAGTTCCAACCCACTACTACCACTGTCAAAGTGTAAAGTAATTTCTCTTTATGCGAGTTTTATGCTTAGGGTCTCCCTTTGTGTGCATGTGTGTAGGTTTTGAGACAGCGTCTCGCTACGCAGTTCAGGCTGGTCTTGAACTCAAGGCAATCAACCCTCCTGTCCTACCACATTCAGTGAGGTCTCTCTTTTTTGAGACTGCATCTCATTATGCTGCCAGGCGCTCCTCAAATTCATGAGTCTCCTGCCTCAGGCTGGTCAGATCAGAGTATAGGAATACATCATGACTAGCTTTGAGTATCTTTTTATTCACAATCATATGATTATAAAATCTTAATAAAGTCCACCTTGGGTTTAATTCTTATATTAAAGACCTGGTCAATAGAACTGTATGTTTCAGTGAGCTAAAGGGTGAAAATACTTCTGAAAGTTAAATCATTACATAGTTCTCAAAGTCAACATTTTCAAGTGAAACACTTCCTAAATGAAGCAAGGTTTATATTTAAGGTTAGAAAACCTAAAAATAGCCATCAATGTCATTTTTTTTTTTTTTTTAGTCACAAATAGTACATTACTTTATTTTCTGTATAAATTAAATTCTGGGGCCTGGGATATAGCTCAGTGGCATAGTACCTGCCTGGCAAGCATAAGGTCCTGAGTTTGATTCCCAGTATCAAAAAAAGAAATTAAATTCTAGTAACTATTTTCATCAAATGTAACTACAAAACTAATGTACACATCTAAAGATGCCCAATTTTAAAAAGTAATTCAGAATACTCACTCGTTCCCATGTAAGCTCTTCCGCAGCTCGGTCCCATTCCAAAGCATTCCAATTCATGTCATCTGGAGATGTAATTGCACATTAAAGGTTACTGATGGAACTGAACCATAATGATAAAATGCACTCTACTTTAATTAATAGACTGCTGAGAAGCTGAGCTATATTTAAAGCTTTCCCACAATGAGTATTTTGTTGGTATTATACCTAGGTTTACAGGTAAGTACATACCTATAAACAAAATATATAAAGTACAGTGATCCTAAACTGTGGTGAGTGCTAGCAAAGAAAGAAGGTTATGTGAAGGAGAGGAATTCAATGGCTAGGGGTCAGACATAAATCTGGCGGATTTGAGAAGACAGAAGGCAGGCGGCTAGAACTTTCTGAGTGATGAGGCAGTGGAAGATGGAAGTATAAAAGGAGATAGGGATCCTGTCATGCAAGGAACCTGGCCTTTGGGTTTCATTTTATTTTTTAGTTCAAGGCAGGAGAGTAGTATGTACCGTGTGAGGCAAGAATGGGAAGAGGACGATGGTTACAGAAGCAATGGTGACGGCCTGAAAAGGGGGCTCAGGGGCTCGGCTGCTTCCGTGCAGAGCACTGTTTCCATTACACGGCCTGCTTCCTTCCACCCCTCAGGTCTCAGCTCAAAAACCACTTATGCTAGGGGCTGGGGATTTCTCAGCGGCACAGCGCCTGCCTGGCAAGCGCAAGGTCGTGAGTTCGATTCCCGGTACTGGGGAGCGGGGGACAGAACAACAACAACAAAAAAAAACACTTATGCTAATAAGCTTCCCCAGAAGTCTGATTTAAAATTCTATCTCTCAGTAGGGCATGGTAGCACACGCCTATAACCCCAGCACTCAGGAGACTGAGGCAGGAGGATCCTTGCAAGTTCAAGGCCAGCCTGAACTGCATTATGAGACCCTGTCTCAAAAAGACAAAAAATAAAAAAATAAAAATAATAATAATAATAAAAAAATTCTCTCTCCTCAGTAGCATCTTCAGAGCAGGCTGTACAATATGCCAGAATGGGCACTTCCTACTTCTTCCCTAGCCCAGAGAGCCCATGAAGGCGGGACCTGGTGTTCTGCCCACAGCGACATACTGAGTATGTCAGGGAGTGCCCTGCATGATGTCAAGTGGCCCTGGGGACAATGCAGCTCTTTACAGGTAAACTACAGTGGCAGAAGAAGGCAGCGCTACTGAGAGCTGACTGGCAGATCCCACCTTGGATCTTACCTTACATTCTAGAATTTACACTGCTAGAAAATGAAATAATGGCTTCTTTAGGTGGCACCTCGCCTGCAGTGTATATTTTAAGAATTTCTTTTCATCCATAAAAGTTGCACCAACTCAACAGAAAGAGAAAAACTGAAGCAAGTAAGTAAGGTAAATCTGTATCAGACTCCTGAAAAAAATGATCTATTCCAACTTAAATAATTTTTTACTACTAATTCTACAAAATGGAGTAAAGAAGGATTATAAGACCTAAAATGTTTCTGCCTCATAGAAAAAATGTATATGTATATCCATAAATATCAGTTTGCCAAAATAAGGTAAAAATGTTTACGTAACTTTCAAACCCTAAAATTTTTTTTTCTCCTCACCGCCCCCCACCCCGTACCAGGAATCGAACTCACGACCTCGCGCTTGCCACGCAGGGGCTGTACCACAGGGCTAAATCCCCAGCCCCTTCAAACCCTAAAATTTGAGAACACCAGTATTCCTCTTCTCTTCAATGCAACTGTATGTGGACTCAGGTTCTAAAAAGAGGTGCCTTTACCCTGGGCTCCATTATTAGCATCCGCCGCGTCTTCCACGCCTGCATCATCCTCCTCCTCGTTGTCTTCCTCCTCCTCCTCTGCCTGGTCGTCCTGTGCATCCGGGTTCTCCCCCACCACTGCATTCTCAGCTGGGGGGTTGGGAGGTTGTTCAGCAGCAGCATTTTCTGCACCATTTCCTCCCGCTGGAGCCTAAAGTGACAAGAACCAGGAATTTAGCTAACTTGTCTCACTATTTCCAAGTCATACTCTCCTCGCTAGAAAAAAAAAAGAACTAGTGAACACAAACTCTACTAACACCCAGAAATAACTAATAAATAAATAAATGAAATCCAGAAATAAGCATCTTTCAGAGTTATCTTTTCAAAATATACTTGATTTGGGATCCACGTGGTATGTAAGAGCTTAAGCTTCCTTTACAGTGCGTACATTCAGTTTCAAATAGGGTATCTGAACATTCACATTTCAAAATTATTCAAACATTCAGATTTCAAAAAGCATTACAGAAAGTGTGTTTACAAATCTGCCTATTTCGGGCTGGGGATGTAGCTCAGCAGCACAAGCGCCTGCCTAGCAACTGCAAGATCCTGAGTTTAATTCCCAGTACCAAGAAAGAAAAAAAATCTGGCTATTTTTTTTAAAAATCGCTATCTTTTTTTATAAGACATCTCTTGTTTTTATTGACTTAGGGATGGGATGAAAACACATTTTTGAAAAACTGATATATATATATAAAACTTAATTTTCTATTGTCATTTAAACACTTAAAATGGCTTCTTGTTTCTGCTCTATCAGTCCCCAAATGCACACTGCTCTGGCTCTTCCTAAATTCTGCTACCTGCAATATGCAAAGACATAATTGCTGTTAACAGCTAAAACACAGAACCATGGATTTAATGAGGATCTTAAAACAATCCTGCATTGAGACACAATGATAAAACTATTAATCTTAGAGGAGAATGGTGCCATTTCTTTATAGCCTGTTGTCTATGTATATATTTTTTTTAAAGTTAAATTAATGTCCACCCAAAGGTGGCCGTGGTGATGCAGGCCTGTAATCCCAGCACTGGGAAGGCTGAGACAGGAGGATCATTGCAAGTTTGAGACCAGCCTGGGCTACAAAGTGAACACAAGGCAGGCCTGAACTGCATAGACAGACCTTGTCTCAAAAGACAGAAAAAAAAAAAAAAAAACCACAACAAAAACAAACAAACAAACAAAACAGAAATTGAACTCTGTAGAGAAAAAGAAACAATCTGTTTTGCTTTTTGGATTTTTTGTGTTTTTTTTTTGACTCAGGGTCTAGCTATGTAGTTCAGACTGGCAGTGAGCTCAGTTTTTAGCTCAGATTGGTCTCAAACTTGCAATGACCCTCCTGCCTCAGCTTCCCAAGTGCTGGGATTAGAGGCGAGTGCTGGGTTTACAGGCGTGCGCCACCAAGCCTGGCTGAAACAACCTATTTTGATGAAATCAATCTGCATACTGAAAAAAAGTATGAAGTACTCAAAACAAAAAAGTAGTTATTATCATTACTTTGTGGACAATTTTCTGATAATAGAATTTTATGCAGTGAAAATAGTTTTCATTTTAGAAAGTAACTAATCTGTGATATTTTCAGGATCACAATTTGTCAGGAAGAAGATATTAAACATAATTTTACCCTCCTCCTCTTCTCAGCACCTCCAGGAAACGCCCCTGCATTTAAGAGTGTCATTACTCAAACAGAACAAAGAAACTGTACAAGACTGGTACCCAATTTTTCTACTTTTGGTCATACTTCTTCTTGACCAGAAAGGCAAAATGATAAAGAAGTGGCACATCCTTCTTAAATGTTGAATAGCATATGAAAAATTTAACTAGGAAACTGTACCTTAATTTCCAAGCCCATGTTAAATAGCTCACCCAAGCAAAGAGAATGACTCCGTAGTTTGGTATATGCTCTAATACCGTTCCTGACCCAGCAGGAAAATTAAGAGGCAAAGTCACAAAAGTATGTCTTGGATTTTTCACATTTGTTTTAATCATCTTCCAATCCTTCCCATTATCCTCCTTTAAAAATGGCCAAAGACCCAGCAATCACTTTGGGCAGGAAACTACAAATTTGAAACTAGCCTTGGCAACTTAGGGAGACTCTGTCTCAACATAAGAAATAAAAGCAGGCTACGGATATAAGCCAGTGCAAGACACTGGGCTCAGTCCCCATGACTGTGGGGGTAAAGAAAAACAAAAGGCACAAGAACATTCATCAAGTATGTGTCAAGGATGTAGACCTCAGAGGGCGCAGTAGTAGCTTTCACATCCTGCCTAAGTAAAACAGATGTGGGAGTGAGAGCCTTACCTCATTCTGGTGGTGCCCCGCAGCATTGAAGGGCGGCGCGGCGTGCTCCAGCCAGATGGGGGCTCCGCCGTGTACTATCTGCTCCCGCAGCCACACCAGGCTGATGAATGCACACAGTGTGCATGTCACCACAAAACAGCCCTGCAGACAGTCCGCCAGCAAGTTCTCCCTGTTTAAACACACAAACACACGCACACAGATGACGACTCCAAGAACACTCATAAAAAGTCAGAAAAACAAGTCATAATTTTTGAGAGAAAATCAGTTTCTCCACAAAAATTACTGAACTAAGCATTAAGTAACATCAGCACTGAACAGCTATTAACTATCTATCTCTCCACAACCTATCCCTTAATATGGTCAAGAAGCAGGAAGGCAGCAAGTAAAAAAGCAGCCAGATACTTGACAAAGGCCAAGTATTAAATTTATAGAATTTACTAACTGCGAGTAGCTCTATCTAATGCTTCCTAAGAATTTCCTGACCATTTTTTACACATAAGTTTTGAAATGTATTGAGAAAATAAATAAATAAATAAAATAAGATGCACTCAGCTGGCACTTAAGTTCATGCAAATCAAGAGAATCATCAAATGAGAAAAGAGTGAGGCTCTTCAGCACACAGATTATTGACAATGTAAAGAAATAAAGTCCAAAAGATGTTCAGCCAGGCGTGGTGGCACACGCCTGTAACCCTAGCACTCGGCAGGCTGAGGCAGGAGGATCGTTGCAAGTTTGAGACCAGCCTGGGCTACAAAGTGAGCTCAAGGCCAGCATGAACTGCACAGTGAGACTCTGTCTCAAAAAGACAAAAAAAAAAAAAAAAAAAAGTTCAACGTGTATGAGTAAGACAAAGTCTACAATGTATTTTGGAGAACGTTTTTATTTAGAAAGCAGAGCCAGGCATGGTGGCACATGCCTATAATCTCAGCACTTGAGAGACTGAGGCAGGGGCATCTTTGTGACTTCAAGGCCAGCCTGAACTGATTGTGAGACCCTGTCTCAAAAAAGACAAATAAATAAATACTTAGCAGAGTTTTGATGCTAACTGCAAATATACCCAAAGTACATTTGTTTCTCTATAAACCCAATGTAGGTAAAGTATAGTTCTTTTAGCAATCATACACTGAAAACGCATGGGATGCTGTAATACGGAAGACCCATTTGTTCTTTCCCTCCCTAAAGAAGAGGCTTATCTTTTCCTATCCATGCCTGGGATTTCAGAATAGATTAACTCAAAAATCTTGCTAGGGGGGCTGGGGATTTAGCTCAGCGGCAAAAGCGCCTGCCTGGCAAGCGCAAGGTCATGAGTTCGGTTCCCGGTACCGGAGAAAAACCAAAAAAAAAAAAAAAAAAACAAAAACAAAAAATCTTGCTAGGCTTTGAAAATACACTTTTTACTCCATGGAAAATCTGAGGAAGGGTCAACCTGAAAGAACGCAGCCTAGCAGCTACAAACTTAAACTGAACTTGTGTGGTCCCTAAATTAAAAGAGGACTCTTAACCAGTCCTTCCTAAGAAATGCTCCAGACAACAAGATTTTGATAGGTTGGGACTAACATATGCCCTATTCTCCTTTGTCATCAGCAGTAAAAAAAAAATTGGCTCAATGAGCTACGTTTTGGACATTTTAAATGATGATAAACTCTACAGTCCTTTTTCCTATGCCTTCATCTGGGGCTGGTGTTGCGTACTGCCTGGATCAGAACTGATGTCAAGTTCCAGAGTGTAGATGGGGTTCATGAGCTTCCTCTCTCACCCTTCTAGGTTGCTGCCCTGAGACCGCTGTGTAAAGAGGGTTTCCATCAGCCTGGCGGAAGAGGAGAAGCAGGGGGAAGAGAACTAAGGCAGCTCAATCAACCACTTACACGATCAAGCCCCACGAAGACACGCCAGTTACCTAGGGAAGTTTAACAGATGAACAGCTCAGCTGAGCCCAGCCCAAACTTCAGAGCTCAAGAATTACAAGCAAATAAAAGTGTTTGTGTGAAGCCACTAAGTTTCAGCCTGTTCTGCAACAATAGATAACGAACATAGTTTGCCTAGAGATGACCCAACAAACTGAGGTACAAAATATATAGCAACTGTTAAGATACAAAGAAAATTCAAAGTCAATTTTCAGGAAAAATAAAAGATGCACCCTATACAGAAAATAAGCCAGGCGTGGTGGCACACGCCTATAACCCCAGCACTGATGCAGGAGGATCCCTGTGAGTTCGAGACCAGCCTGGGCTACAAAGTGAGTTCAAGATCAGCCTGAACTACATAGTGAGATCCTGCCTCAAAAAGACCAAAAAAAAAAAAAAGAAAAAAGAAAACAAAAAAACACTACTTAGGAAAAAAAAAAAAAAAAATCAACCCATGTTTCTCATTTCTTTTGCCCATCCTACTAGGCCTCTAGTTTTTCTCTCCTGTCTAAGAAGTAGCTAATGAAAGCAATGCAGATGGCCCTCAGCCAATCAATTCAGAACAAAGGAGAGCCGGCCAACCAGGGCAAGCAACAATGCTTACTGTCAAAATGTGGTAAAACAAGACTACATGAGCTGGGCATAGTGGCACATGCCTGTAACCCCAGCACTTGGGAGGCTGAGGCAGGAGGATGACGTGAGTTTAAGGTCAGCCTGGGCTACAAAATGAGCTCAAGGCAACCTGAACTGTATAGGCAGACCCTGTCTCAAAAAAAAAGGCTACATGAACAAGTTTTTAGCATGTATATTCTTATAACCTCAAAACATATTTTAAAATTTATCTAAACATACGAACATAGTATTACATACCGCAAACTTCATTATAGCCTATTTAACAACTCATCCCACCATTACAAAACAGTCCTTGAATGGGTGTATTTTAAAAGAACCATCGTTAGTATGTTAGCTATTTCTGCTACCCCAGCTGTAACTGTTAGAATAAGAAACATCAACCATTGTCCTTGGAACAAGATAAAGAACTTTCAAACAAGAAATACGGTGACGCATCACTTCCACCGTCGCCCAGCTCAGTACTCACGTGGACAGCATATCCAGCGGCAGTGTCAGCAGTGAGCTCACGGAGCCAGTGAACAAGCACTTGTAGATGCGGCCTGTCAGAAAGGGCATGATGGCACACAGTCACAGCGGGCACCGCCAGCTCAGCCACTCCAGAGAGCAGCGGTGAAACCACGACGGCCACAGAAATTAGTGTTTTATTCCAAGTCTCAAAACACTACATTTTTACAAACATGGTCAAACATAGAAACAGCAGAGGAATGTTACATAACGGTGTCTGGTGTACATATTCTCTCTAGATTTGTTTTTACTAAATGCACACTCACTGTGTCTTTCTGTATATATGTAAAAAATTCATGCAGATAAAGCAGGCAGATTTTCCCTCACTTCTCTCCTCTCCTCACCATTTCCCCCACACTTTCATCTGAGATTTTAGTGTCAGCCTATCATCTAAAAACTCTTAATTATTATTGTAGGTTAACAATCACTGAGCTTAGCCATGAGGACTTGTTTCTGTGAATTTCACATCTTTTTCTGATTCCTCAATTCATTTAGTAAAGTGTATTCTCAGTTTCATCAGAAGTTTATAGAGTAGTGAGCTTTCTGATCCTTATGACAAACCAAATGTCTGTACTTTGTTCTTCCACCTGGGGATAATTTTCAGGAGCAGAATTATCTCAAAACTGCTGTCAAAATCAGACATAGCAGCACACACCTGTAATCCTACCTATTAGGGGGACTAAAGCAGGAAGATTACACCTGCAAGGCTAGCCTCAGCAACTTAGTGGACCTGTTTCAAAAATTTAAAACAGTATATTTTGTTTTTCAGTTTTTCTAAGAGAAGATCTAACTACGTAGTCCTTAAATTCATCACCTTCTTGACTCCGCCTCCCAAGTGCTAGGAGTACAGGCATGTGCCACCACACACACCTGAAATAAAAAATATCTTTTAAACAGGGCTGGGGATGTTCCTCAGTGTTACAGCACTCTTGGTTTTGATCCTGAATATTGTTTTTGAAAAAGTCAAGTTTGGACGTTTCCAATGTCTTCAAACAGTCAGCATTTCTGAAGCGAAGTCTAAGGAAAGTCTCATTTTCTGTGTGTCGCAGGACAATCAGCAGAATACTGCTATATTCTGTAACTCTTGTCACCATCACCACCCTACCCAGGGCTGGACCATTTGAAACTACGTTTAGGTTTGTGCATCTTTTTCCTTTACTGTGATCGGCTTTCCCTTTCAACATAAAAGACACCATTTCCTCACCTCCATCATCTCTCTTCCCTTAAAAACTGACTACACAGTCACCGAAACAACTAGATCTACCCTCCCTCTCTCCATTTGGTTTTCTCTCTTAAAACCACTCCTCCCTTTGAATGATGCCCTACAATGGCTCCTTAGTCTAATCTTCTAGCTCATTAATTAACTCAACCATAATTATTCTGCTATTCAGTGTATTGCTCAAGATTTTCACTCTAGAGGTGACCAGGAAAACTTTACTTAAGGAGTCACGAGAATATTAATTGTATTTTAAAGTCTTGCTTGTTTTTAGCTCCAAGCAATCATACTCTGAAATTATACACTATCTACTTCTTGAAACCATTAAGAAAAAGCAGAAGGACAAAGGATCATCCAAGAGGGTAGGTTAGTGTACCAACTCCCAAAGAGCCCTCCTATCTGAATATTAAGCCTTTCAATTACTCAGAACCATTACACCTGTATGTATTTATCACTGTAAAAAGAGAGAGTGGTCAAAGAAGAACCCCAAAGAATCTACCTACTGGAGACCTTGCAAACTCCAATGTTAAGAAATAAAATTTGGGGCCGGCGATATATCTCAGCAGCACAAGTGCCTGCCTGCAAGCACAAGGGTCTTGAGTTCAATTCCTAGTACCAAAAAAAAAAAAAAAGGGAAGAAGAAGAAAGAAAGAAAATATGAGCACCAGGGATGTAGCCCAGCGGCACAGCAACTGCCTGGCAAGTGTAAGGCCCGGAGTTCAATTCCAGGCACAAAAAACAAAAAAAAAAAAGGAAGAAAATCTGAATTTCTTCTAATTACGGTTTGATTTTGCTTTCTTAATTCTTTCATGAACCTTCATTATTAGTCTCTGTGTTTTTTCCTGTTCCACATTTTTTTTTGGGGGGGGTCTTTTTGAAACAGGGTCTCACTATGCAGTTCATGCTGGCCTTGAACTTACTTATGTAACCCAGGCTGGCCTTGAACTCGCCATGATCCTCCTGCCTCAGCCTCCCGAGTGCTGGGATTACAGGCGTGCGCCACCACGGCTGGCTTCCACATTTGTTAAGAAACACCCCACTTGGGATGTAGCTCAGTGGGAGAGAATACGCTGAGCATGCACCAGGCCCTGGATTCAATCTTCACCACAAAGAAAATCCCAGTCATTCCTAGTTCAGATGAGTGTGAAGCTTTCCCAGTACACAAGGCGTGATCAAAATACGCTGATGCTTAAAATTCTTTAAGAAAAAGTGTTGGCATTAATTCTACTAATAATACTCCCCGTTGTTCCGAACATACCTAACCCATTGCTTTTGCCACCTTCTGAAGCAGCTCCGGAAGTCCTCCTTCCTGAGTGTCTTTACGAGATGTGATCAAAACACAGCAAAAGCTGCTGCTGTCACCCCACAGAAAGGCAGGCTCATAAACACGACAGGGCATCCTCACCCACCTTATTCGCCACACTTGGCACGAGGTAACTTCGGGCTCTTCCTCAAAGTTAAAATGATCGTGAAAGGTAAATGTTTTGAATCCGCTCAGGACTTTGGGCAGCCATGATACTTACTGCCAACTAAAGATGAGAGAGGACTCCAGGACTACTTCAGAAAATGGCAAAAATGATGGGGTAAGTATGTTTGAAGTGAGAGGAGAACTCTGAGTAAAACTAAGGGAAACATAATTTTATTGTAATAATTTTTTAAAAAATTTAAACATGCGCCGTATTTTTTCAATCATACCCCCCTATGATACTGCAACAATAAATAACTGAGATAATACTTCTCGCAATAAATAGTTATATAACGTTTAAACAACTGCAAAAGACACATGAGTACTCACATGCTGTAAGAGGAACAACTCCCAACCATGCAAAGGCCACAAGTGTATAATGAAACCAGTATCGTATCGCAGTACCAATACTTGTAACCAGCCCAGCAAATATGTCTTGGATGGGTAGCCGTGAAGGCATATCGGGGGAATAAACTAAAAGTGAAAGAAGAAAAAAAAATTTCATGAAGATTTACAAATGGTTTAATTCATATATACAAACAACAGATACAGCTATCTTAACATTGAATATAAGTACTGTAATTAAATATCTTTCCTGTTAAAAAAGTGAATCAAATAGCTGTAATACCATATTTACCCCAGGAAGGCATTTATGAAGCAACCACATGTAAAATGTGGAAACTGGAGGAGGAAAACAAGGCCTCTGAGCAAGAAAAGTGTTCAGAAGAAGTCCACACCCTTTGCTAACAACCGTGCGCCACACGGAAACCAATCTGCACGTCTGCACTCAAACAATAGAACAACACAGCGACGTGGAGGCCCACGCCAGCCAGGAGCTTGCAAAGGACACAGCAAAAAGGGAAGCTGACGGCATGCGACCAGCAAAGAACTCCCCAGGAGAAACTCTGGAGGCGGCACTCTAAGGGCCGGGGCACTGCACGTGCCAGCCACAGCCCACTGCACTCTGCCAGCCAGCCCTTCTCACGCCTGGAACACTGCACTTAACATCCACATGAAAACTTCAGCTCTTCCCACTTCTCTGCAAAATGTGCCTCGATACACTCAGAGAAAAGGTAAGTTTTGCCATATTTTAGAAAAACAGCCAGGCATGGTGGCGCAGGCCTGTAATCCCAGCCCTCGGGAGGCTGAGGCAGGAGGACTGAGATCAGCCTGGGCTACAAAGTGGGCTCAACGCTGGTCTGAACTACAAAGTGAACTACCTGCCTCAAAAAGACCCACACCCCCCAAAAAAACCCTTTAAAATGGTTCTATAAAAGCCACTGCTTATTTTAAAACTCCACTAGAGATGAAACAGACAGAACTTCTGGAGGAACATCTTCCTTATGAGGCCAGACACGGAATTACGATATCTAAGGTTTTCGAAACAACGATCTACAATTTGTAAGAACACTGTCGCAAAGCTGCTCACATCTATAAATATTATGGAGTACACAACAAACAGCAACTTCTTCTATTACAGCCACTTAGATCACCGAGGTCACGAGGATATTTTGTATAGAAAAGCAAGTCTTTAAACCAGTAGTGAAGCAGGGTGTGGTGGCCCACACCTGTAATCCCAGCACTTGGGAGGCTGAGGCAGGAGGATCATTGCAATTTCAACACCAGCCTGGGCTACAAAGTGAGCTCAAGGCCAGCCTGAACTGCACAGTGAGACCCTGTCTCACAAAAAAAAAAAAAAAAAAAAGACAACAATAAACCAGTAGTGAGACTTTCTGAGAAAGGGAAGGGAAACAGCATATGAATGTCTAATGAACACTAAAGTGTACAAAATAAGCTTTTGTTCGCCTCAAAGTAAAAGTCTACATTATTTCCTATCAAACTTTGTGAAAATATTCAACTATTTAGTTTTACTTTGTTATAAATCTGAAGCTGTACAGCTTTTATGTATTACAGAAAATCAAAGACTACAAATAATAGATTTGACATTTTTTGATGGTAATGAATAAAGTTCTAAGAGTATAAATATACTAACTGTAACCATTTACATTTGTCAAAATAGACGTAAAATGAATACTAATCTACATTTATACTGAGCAGAACAAGAGGCTTTAGAAAGAAAATGAAAGCTAGGCATGATGATGCACACCTGTAATCCCAGCACCCTGGGAGGCTGAGGCAGGAAGATCCCATGTATGAGCCCAACCTGGGCAAATTAAAAATAAATTAAAAAACAAAAACAAGGCTGGGGATGTAGCTCAGGGAGAAGGTTCTGAGTTCAACCCCCAGCAGAGCCTTAAATAAAAAGAAAGATAAATAAATAAGGCTGGGAATGTAGTTCAGCTCTAGAGCACTTCCTAAGCATATGTTAAAGGCCCTGGGTTCAACCCCCAGTACTGCTTGCTTTAACCTGAAACTGTCTTTATTACTATTATTCTAATGCGGGCAATTTAATCTCAAAAGATAATCCAAAACAGAGTTTTAATGAAATTAAGACAAGGCATTATTATTAATTTTTCTAGCTGATAATGGTCTTATAGTTACATTTTCAAAAAAGAACCATTACATGCTAGATAATGTACATACGAAATTATAGGGCAGGAGTGATAACTCATGTCTTTAACCCCAACACTTGGGAGGCTGAGGCAGGTGGATCACCGTGAGTTTAAGGCCAGCCTGTGCCACACTGAGTTCAAGGCCAACCTAAACCACATAGTGAGACCCTATTTCAAAAAAACCAAAACAAATGTTTTAAGTATAAATAAAATTATTTTTTAAAGGACAGACCAGGAAAGAAAAGGGGGGCAGGGGAGGCAGAGGGGATAAGAAAGAAAGCAAAGATGAGACAGGTCATGTGTGAAAAACCAGGTGACACCAAGCGATAGGTACACAGTGTGGACTTGCTTTGTATATCTGAGCACATCTATAACTAAAAGAAAGAAAAAGAGAAACCTACAAAACTTGTATGTGTGTGCTAAAAGATGACAGTATTTAAAAATATTTTCCAAATGGAAGAGCATTTTCTATTATTACCAAAGACAATAAAATAGAAAATTGCTTTAAAATCATTAAACATCTTTTACTGCTGGTAACAGCCAAACCACCATAATGAAAACACTGAAAAACTTACTTGGTGTAAAAGCAAATCTGTGCTTGCATAATTCACAGTATTCTTTTCGACTGTGTTTCAGCCACTGAACTAAGCTGTAATCACAAACACATTCATAAACATAGTATTTACAGAGAGACAGTAAGGTTTCACTGAACACTAACATTCTGCTTTGATTAAAACCCTAAGAATTAAAAAAAAAATCCTAATTACAGAGCTTTTACTGTTTTTACTGATTCAAATTTAGAATATTCTGACAATTTCAAATTTAGAGCACTCTTTATTTTTTATAACTGCCTTCTAAGAATACGGAATTTACATTAGGTAAGACACTATGTACTATACTTTTACTAAAAGGGTTCAATTAATCTAAATTATAATCTTTTCAGAGCTAACTGAGTATGAATGAACCCAAGCATTAACCTCCCGAGTTCTAATACTCGTCTGGTAATGTGGGTATCTGGTAACTCGGCTGAACCCTAGGTCTGCCACTAATTGGCTGGTTGAGTGGTGCATGACAAGGTATTTATACTGTCTATGCTTTAGTTTCCTTATGCATAACTCTCCACCTCAGTTTTCTTACCAAGTTAAATGAGTTAGAAGTATAAAAGCACTAAGAGCCAGGCATGGTGGTGCACGCCTGTAATCCCAGCACTCAGGAGGCTGAGGCAGGGGGACGGTTATGAGTTCGAGACAAGCCTGGCCTACAAAGTGAACCAAGGTAGCCTGAGCTACATAGCGAGACACTGCCTCAAAAACTAAAATAAAAGCACTGAGAACAGTACTGGCACAAAGTACTGCACTTCATAAACGCAGGCTGATGTTATGCCACTCTAAACAGAAAAGTAACACATCCCATGGACAGAATCTTTACAATGCACATCAGCAGGGGTGACATTACCAATTGTGGATAATGTATTTCCCATACTTTTACAAATTCTAGAAGTAATTATGGAACAAGTTCACTGAAATAATCCTTTTTATTATATAGATGACAAAACTGAAGCTCAGAATTATAGTTTTCTAGAAGTATGACTTACCATTCTTGATGAATAAACTTAATACTGCCAGTACATACACAAGGATGATAAAGAGGTTTCTCAGGTGTTCCTTCTGACCGACACACTCTACATATGTCTGTTAGTGAGAGAGAAAAACAATTTTGTTATAACTTTTTTTAAAAAAACAGACCATCAAAAACTGAAGTATTTTCTAGCAAAGCAACGAGGTCCCTTGGGAAAACATTGATCAGCAGCACAGAAACTGAAAATTGTGATTTAAATATGTAAGTGTGTAACAAACTAAAAAGTTTCCTTTAAAATTAACACAAAGTTGGGCGAGGTGGTGCACACCTGTAATCCCAGCAATCAGGAGGCTGAGGCAGGAGGATCATTGCGAGTTCGAGGCCAGTCTGGGCTACAAAGTGAGCTCAAGGCAGGCCTGAACTGCATATAGTGAGACCCTGTCTCAAAAAGACACACACACACACACACACACAAACTGCATTAAAATTAACACCAAGGGGCTGGGGATTTAGCTCAGCACAACAGCGCCTGCCAGGCAAGCGCAAGGTCATGAGTTCGATTCCCAGGACCAGAAAAAAAAAACCAAAAAACCAAAAATAAATAAATAAATAAATAAATAAAATTAACACCAAGTTTTTCCTTAAACTAGAACTCTATAAATAATGCTAAAAATAATAAAAACGTTTTTTATTTAAAACTGTACTTTCCCATAACAAATACTGAATAAAAAATGCAAAATCAGATCACCATTAGACTCTTACCAGTTTTAAAATCCAGTCCCAACGCTGAGCAGTTTTAAATCCTAATGCAGTACTGACAGTTTAAACTACACACACACACACACACACACACACCACTGAGCATTTAATATGGATCATCAGTGGGGGAGCATTGTACACACCGCCTTCCTCATCTCAACCACAGGACAAAACGGGTAAAAACTGGGAAGAAAGACAGCCTCTTTTTTTTTTTTTTTTTTTTTTGACAGCCTCTTTAATAAACGGTTCTGGTAAAATTGGATAACCACATGCAGAAGATTGAGTTTAGACCCATATATCTCACCATTTGCTAAACTACAATCAAAATGAATTGAAGATCTAAATGTTAAAACTTTTTGGAATTTTGTGGGCTTCTTTTGTTTGTTTCTTGGTTTTTCATTTTCTTTAAAATATTTTTTTAAAAAACTGTTAACAATGACATATTTAAAACTGCTGGAAGATAAAATAGGTAAAACTCTTGAAGATATAGGCATAGGCAAGGATTTTCTGAACAGAACCCCAATGGTACAAAAAATAATACCAAGACTCCACAAATGGGATCATATGAAATTCAAAGCCTTCTGCACAACAAAGGAAACCAACAAACTGAAACAAAAACCTACAGAATGGGAAAAAACTTTTGCCAGCTACTCCTCAGACAGAGGACTAATATCTACAATATATAAAGAACTCAAGCCGGGCATGGTAATCTCAGCACTTGGGAGGCAGAGGTAGGAGGAGGATCGTTGTGAGTTTGAGACCAGCCTGAACTGCATAATGAGACCCTGCCTCAAAAAGACAAAAAAAAAAAAAAAAAGACCCCCCCCAAAATAAAAGATCAAATTAAAAAATGGGCAACCAAATAGACACTTCTCGGAAGTACAGAAGGCCGAGAAGCCACTTTGAAGATATCAATATGTAATACAACCACCA